CTTATAGAATTTTTTTGATAGTTCCAGTGACTGTGGCATCAGCTGAAAGAAGTTTTTCAAAGTTAAAGTTGATCAAAACCTACTTAAGGTCATCAATGTCACAAGAACGATTGAATGGTCTTGCAATTTTATCGATCGAGAAGGAATTTTTGAAAAGCATTGATACGGATGTTATCATTAATGATTTTGTATCTCAAAATGCTCGAAAACTCATTTTTTATAATTTTTTTGTATTTTTGTAGTTGATGATGACCTAAGAATTATTTGAATGAATTTTTTTTTGTAATTTTATTAGAAAAAATTTTTATTTACTTAAAAAACATATTATTTTAATAGAATTATGCTTTTATTTTGTTGTATTATGTCATATAATTTTTTTTGAAAGGGTCCCAATTTAATATTTTGCCTAGGGCTAAGAAAAAGTCAGGAATGGGCCTGGTAAAAAGAGGGTAAGATAATAAAATATTGTAAGTTTTTGATAAAGTGAAAGATTAATAATGAAAATAATGTAATAAATATTTTATATGTATGGTCTACTAATTTGTCTGAACATGAATTTATATTAAGGGTGAATGAATTTTTATTTTTTTATTTTACACGTATCCCCAATTTAAAGAAAATAAATTCTTATTTAGGATAAAACTGGAAAAAATTACTTTGATTTTATTTGGTAGATATTGCATGCCCTACATGTGGTGTGTTAAATTTGAGTACTTCATGCATGCACTCACTTGTCATCATTAAAATTTGTTTTCTTACAAACAGAAAACATATTTTTTTTATTAAAATTAATTTTGTAAATTTAAAATTATTTCAAAAAGTTTATAACATGAATGGCCAATCAACGTGAACATGCATGACGACGGAGAACAACGTGAAAATGATGAAGTTGATCCACCTCAGTGTCACCTTGTCCATTGTTTCGAGGAGCTCATGATGTATGTCTTTGAAAACTGTGTCCAAACCATCACATTATGCTACCTTTCACAGTTCACAACATGGAGCTGTTACAAGGGTTATTCGCTCAGGAGCAAGTTTCTTGATTTGTGGCTTTTAATCCAAGTGTTTTTCAGTTTCTTATATGATATCTCACAAAACACTTTGCATGTGAAGTTATGCAATTTCCTGTGGGTGGGTTTTGTTGGCTCTTGATATTAACATTGCCACAAGCTGTAGGTTTTACACGGTGTAGGTGTCAAGCATAATACACAGGCTAATAATTGACAATAAATGCTAACAACATATTTTATTCAACATAATTTTTATTATTAATTAAATTTATTAAAAAATTTAAAAATATATAAAAATTATTAATTTAAAAGTAAAATTTATATCAATTTTATAGTTTTTAATAAATTTTAGTTTAAAAATATATTACTAATATTATCCAACTAAGAAAATTTGTTCTTAATTTAAAAAAAAGTGATTATTTAATTACAATACAACTTAAATAAAAGAAATACTAATAAATATATTTGTAAATTAGATATGTAAACTACAACATAATTTTAATTTTTTTATTTTTATTTTATATTATAATTTTTGATTCAACATATTTTTTTATATATTTTATTATACTAATTTATTTTTTTTATATCTACCATATCTTACTTAAAAAATTGACTTGCAATTTGATATTAAATGTTTGGTGATAAATATTATACATACTTTAATAATATTTTAATTATTATTTATAACACGTTGACTAGATATGTAATTTTTAAATAATTTAACTAAAGTGTAAGTTACAATAAAAAGATAATTTATGATAAAATTTTAAATACATACTTCGATATATTATTTTATTTTTTAACTATAATGCTGTATGAATATTTGATATTATATAACAATCAATACTTTAACTCCCATGCACAAGCATCTAGAGTAGAATTTCAAGAATTCATAAAATCTGTTTTGATTTATGAATATTATGAGTTGCTTTGAGAAAAATAAAAGTTCAATGTAATATTTGACTAGCCATAAACAAATTTTCAATTAATTTAACTTGCTGGGGGATGACCTTTTTTTATAATTTTTTTTAAATTTGCACAGTACTGTACATGATACAAAAATATATATATATTTTTTATTAAAAATGATAAAACTTAATATAATTTAATATAATACTATTATTAAATGCAACAATTTTAATACAAAATATTATATGTTATTTAAATTAAAAAATAATAAATATATTAAAAAAACAAGATTTCATTATGATTATCGATGAAGTTGTACTTCAATTTGATTGAACAGAATGAATATGAAATTCAAGATAAAAAAAAATGTCAAACATATTTATATAAACAAGATAAATATGTTTTTAACCTTTATTTTCTAGCTGCATATTTGTCTTGAAATCTATTACTACTGTTACAATTAATAATAATAATAATTTTTGTGACAATTTTTTATTTATAAAAATAAATTCAAATTTTTCTACTTTTTCTAAAATTAATTTATATTAAATAAAAACATAAAAGTTTAAAAATAAATTACATTAATGTTTTAGATTTCTTTCCATAAACTACGTGGATGAATAAAAAACTTTAATGTGCATGTCTGATCACATCTGATGATAAATCGTGTCCAGTCATATAAAAATTGTTTTCATATGAAAACAATTTAAAATTAAACATTTAACTATTGAATATAAGTACTAACTAAAAGGCATGATCTGGACCCTCACACCATTTCAAGCTTCCTAGACTAGTCACTGTTCTACTACACTACTGCTACTAGCAGGAGTAACTGTGGCTCTTGCCATCCCTCTCTATCTTTCAGACCGCTTCTTTTAGATTCAATTTTCTTCCTTCTCCATTTTTGAAGCTCCAACTTCCTAACATTCTTATCCTCTACGGGTACATTATGTTTCTGTTCTCTCTTCAAATCGTTTCTTATTAGCTATAAAAATACCACCGGTTTTACCGCCTTATAAATTCTTCCGTTCTCGAAAAACTGTCATTGGAAACGGTGCATGGCCTCTGATTACGCTCTAGGGTTCCTTTCTCCATCGCTTCTGCGAAATAGGAACTGCAAAGCGTTCAGCGTCCATGCGTGTTCGTCAAGAATCAGCATCGTGATGGCTTTGTGGATGCATGCTTTTTGTTTTTTGTTTTGTTGTTTTTTAGTTTTACTTGAATCCTTGCTTTTTGTGTGGTTTAAAGAGGTTTTGCTTGCTTTGAATCGTTTTTAGTGTTTTGTCTCTCTTGTTTTGATCTTTTGTGATGGTATGAATGTACGTGGTGGGTGAGGTTTACCTGCACAAACTGTTTTATTTCAAGATTTGTTGCTAGGGTGATTTGAAATCAAAATGGAGATTTTTTTGTCTTGTTTATGTTAGTGAAAAGTATGGATATCTAATTGTGCATCCAGCCCATGTGTGTATTTTTGGTTACATGTGTTTACGTTTATGGTTGATTTGTGGTTTTATTTCTTCTGATTTGTGGTTTTACTTTCTGCGTGAACCATTGTGTTTCATCTCAGGCAGGTTACGTCATTTAATTTTCTTGAATGGATAGTCCATTTCCTTGTTGAGATGTTTAGAAATCCACCATACATGGACTGACCTGTGACATGGACAGCTTGAACCTGGTTATTGATCTAGATATGATACGAAAGTGTTGATTTAATTATATGTATGCTATTCTACTTTGTTTATTTGATTGGATATCCTAAATGATCTGTCCCTATTGTTTGCTTCTCCATCTGGATTATAATCTTATTGAGTGGAGATGGATTATAATCTTTTAGAAGGGAAAGAAAATAATTTCAGAACTCTATATGGAGATTGTTATGGAAAGCTGTAAAACTTGCAGTTTTTATAGTAAAAGGATTATTACTTAAGATTGTTGCACAGATGAAGGCTCATGTATCTGTTCGAAAAGATATGGTATGATACAGTATGATATATTGCTGGGGCAATTTTTTAAAATATAGTATATAGATAAATAAGATATTTTGATGAGGTATGGAAAACTATATTAAATCAAATATCCAAAATTATAGGTATAAAGATAAAATCTACTGGTAAATTATAGCCATTCCTAATGTTACAATTTAAATCACCTATATATTGCCATTCATTATTTCTCCATCCCTCAAAATTTCCTACCCCTTCACCAGAAATCCTTTCATCAGTTCGGCTGAAATTCACTAAGTCCTTCTTGATTTTTCCCTTTTGTTCTTCCTGCTGTCCCTCCATCCTTCAGCCAAGGATTAGCTCACTTTTTTCATATAAATGAACATGGGAAAAAACTATGAATTTTCCAGAAAATGGTAGCTGCCATATGATTTGTATATCTGCATATAAATATGCATATGATATGGGTATGACATCAATTTTGGAGTAAAAGGGCAAATCTTATGTTTTAGAAATAATGTACCTGATTTTGAGTTACAGGAATTCAAAGCACAAGAATTTCTTGACTGTCTGTGGATCTTAGAGATTTCTCAAGAATCATGCACAATTATTCAGCATCTTATTGGTCATTAAAATGCAATGCTTGAAAACATAAACTTTTAGGTTTTCACTAAATTGAACTAATTTTAAACCACGTTGCTTGTCCAAGGACTACAATTTTCTTTTTCTGCAAACTTTGGTCAATGGTTATTCCTCTCAAAATTTGTCGTTGACATTACCGCCATTCCTAGGATGCATTTATGGAATGCACAAACAGTTAAGCATGCATTTATTCAGTTTATAAATGTTGTAAGCAACAAACTTGTTGGTTTATCTATTTAAAGTGTTCTTTTGGTGAGAAAAGAATACTGTAAGATAATTATTTTATCTCTGGACCTGTGTCTCTGTGATTTTGATCTAATTGTTTCTGTTTATAAGATAATATCATAGTTAACTTGCTAGGCTAGTACCCTGTCTGCCATGATGGGTACTCATTGGTCGAATCTTGATTTCTATGGAGGGTTTTGGTTGATATTAAAAATTGATATAGTGTTCTTTTTTCTTGCTAATATGAAAATTTATTTCTTTTTAGCAGAACATGAGTAGCTTGGTTGAGAGGCTTCGTGTAAGATCTAATCGCAAACCAATTTATACTATAAATGAGTCAGATGATGATTCTGAGATGTTGCCTAGAAAACATGATAAACCTCAGGAAAAATTTGAGAGAATAGCTAGAAGTGATGCAGTAAGTTACCTTCTTTAATTTGATTGCTTTTTTAACATGTCCTTTTTAAAAAAATTGTGTTTACATCTTTGCTATTGTACTGTTGAGTGTTTAGAGCAATACTAAGTGGGTGATTGATAGTTAATGCTATTTTGCTGTGACTGAAGAACCCATATTTGACTTTTCAGTCAAACTTGATATGTTCTTGATAAATTTCAAAAAAATTGGACAATTCTTTTACATACTTTTTTCTCCCTTAAATAACACTGTGTAATTTGGTATGGAATCTATGATTTCTGATACATTTTATGTATCTAATAGTCCTAGTATAAAAACTTGTGTAGAATTGACTGTGATAGAGATCACTTGAAAATTATACATAATTATGCTACACCTCATTGAGTTATTATAAAGCAATGCTTGAAAACCTCCCTAGGTTGAACTTCTTTTAAACCTTTTGTTGCCTATCCAAGTATTACAAAATTTTATTTCTCTAAGCTTTACTCGTTTCTTTTAGAATTGACATTACTGTCATTCCTAGTATGCATTTAAGGAAGGCACAGGCATATGCATTTATCCAATTTATAAATGTTGCAAGCAACAGCCTCATTGGTTTTTTTATTCAAAATGTTCCTTTGGTGAGAAAAAAATACTATAGGATAACAATTTTATCACTGGACTTGGGTCTTTTTGATTTTGATCCCTTTGTTTCATACATTAATCTTACATCACAGTTAGCTTTCTAGGCTAGTACCCAACAGCCTCATTGGTTTGTTTATTCAAAATATTCCTTTGGTGGGAAAAAAAATACTATAGGATAACAATTTTATCTCTGGACTTGTGTCTTTTTGATTTTGATCCCTTTGTTTCATACATTAATCTTACATCACAGTTAGATTTCTAGGCTAGTACCTGGGTCTGCCATGATATTTGTTCCTAGGATAAACCTTGGTTTCTTTGGATAGTTTAAGATTAAAAACTGATAGTGTTCTTCATGTTTATATGAGAATTTCTATCTTTCCAGGAAAACAATGGTATGTTGGTTGAGAGGCGTTGTGTAAGATCCAATCGCAGGCCAATTTACAATATGGATGAGTCAGATGATAATGCTGATGATTTGCCTACAAAACATACGACAACTCATGAAAGTTTTAAGAGATTTGCTAGAAGTGATACCGTAAGTTATTTTCTTCCCGTTTTGCTTTAAGTATTTTCCATGTTTGTGCTAAATTTTCTTTACATCTTTGGTAGTTTAACTGTTCAGTGGATGACTGATGGTTAATGATATTTTGTTGTAATGCAAGAAACCCTTATCGAAATTTCCAGTCAAACTTGAGATGTTCTTGATAAGTTAATTAAGTTTTAGAGAGGTGGACAATTCTTTGCATGCTGTTTATTGGTGACGAGTGTAGTGGAGGAAATTTTTGCCTTAAACTTTTTCTTCTAACACTTAGTAATTTTAAATGGAATTTATAATTGCTGATACAAGAACTTTGATATAAAACATTTGCAACATAGATTTAGCCCTTTGAGAAAAAATTTGGAGGCTCTTTTTTTTTTTTTTTGTGTTTTATTTGTTTATTTGATGCTATGACTACTAGTCTCATATGTTTACTTTGTTCAACTGCTGATATTTGTAGTGCCAAACTTTTAGTATTTGTGCTGAATACAAATTTTGTCTGGAGAGTTTCAATATTTTTCTCCATATGCATATTTAGAGGATTGGAAAGAGTAGATGGGGCATGGTCTTTTCAAGTCTGCAATGTATGCTTTACTTTGGTGCTTATGATAAGAATGGTGGATGTGGATAACTCTTAATTGATATCTCATTTATGGTACAATTTGGTCTTAGCTTTTGATGCTTTGATAATGGCTACTTAAAATTACTTTGGTGCTTATGATAGGAATGGTGGATATGGATAACTCTTCACTAATATCTCATTCATGCTACAATATGGTCTTAGCTTCTGATGCTTTGATAATGACAACTTAAGATTACTTTGTTTTGTGTTTTCTTTGTTGTTTATTCTGATATTTAGCTTTTCAATTTCCCCAACAAGGTTATCATATCCTTTGTTCTTCTCTTTGGTAAAGTTTTTTATTTCTATTCTCTTATCATATTATTTATTCAATTCAATTTATTAAGATTGAAACGTTTTGTTCTAGAGCATCAGAAATATTATTCTCATTAATCCAAGTTGAAGTTAGTTACAAGTTTTTATTCATAAATGTTTGCTATCTGGCTTTAGGTTTTGTCTATACTTGTTTGATGTTGTATCTAGGGATGGGGATGGATTTAGGGGAAAAAGTTTTTACAAATTCTTTATATATATATATATATTGAATTTTTTAAAATGTAAAACTACATATAGTTATAAAATTTAGTAACGTAATTATGTACATTTATATGACCAACACAAATAATAGATAGTTAATTCTTTGAGTATATTGACTATAAATGAGATAATATTTATTTCAGTGATGTTTTGTCTTAAAAGATCTCTTTATTACATACCAAAAAAAAGTATAACATGCACATTGGAGTTATTTATTTTGCACCCCCCCACCCCCCCCCTTTTCATTTAAGTTCTGGATCTGTCCCTAGTTGTAGCTTCGTACTAGTAAATTTTTCACATCTTCTCTTTCTCATCCCTTGTTTTGATGTTTCTATTCCTTTCTAATAATAGAAAGAAAATTCATGTCAAGCTTGTGGAGAAAATGGAAATCTTTTGATCTGTGAAACATGCACTTATGCTTTTCATCCTAGCTGTTTACTCTCCCCACTTAAAAGACCTTTTCCAGACAACTGGAGGTGCCCGGAATGTGTAAGTCTTTGACGCTTTTAGCAGATGTTCTGCATGAGTGGCAGCTTTACAATTATACTTATAATATCTCCTTCTTTTGCAGGTTAGCCCGCTTAATGATATTGACAAGATATTAGATTGTGAGGTGAGTCCCACAGTAGCTGGTGCAAGTGATGTCACAAAATTGGAGTCAAAGCAAAACTTTGTGAAACAGTATCTTGTTAAGTGGAAGGGACTATCATATTTGCACTGCACATGGTAAATTTATTAAAAATTGTTTACTTTTGTTATGTCCTAGCTTCCCATGGTATCTTGTGAACCTCACATAGCTTTCTATTCCTGGCCCTGATTCTTGCTCTATCATTTACTGAATCACCACAAAGTACTATGTTTTTCAAGTTTTGCTTTAAAAGATTGCTTTTTAGGCTTTTATTTTGCATTTGATCTATTATCACTGTGGTTATTGTCCATTTACCAGATACAATTTCTTTTCTTTAGGGTGCCAAAGGAAGAGTTTCTGAAAGCTTTCAAGAGTTATCCACATATAAAAACCAAAGTAAACAACTTTCATCGTCATATGGCATCACGTGATGAAGATTTTGTTGCCATTCGACCTGAGTGGACTATGGTTGATCGCATACTTGCTTGCAGGTTCAGCTATAAGAAACTATATTTTCCACCTCCATTGTTTTAAACATAATTTGAGATGATATGTTCTGAATTATTGGACATGATTTTAAACATTAGATTGAGTTGAAAATCATTTATTTCAGAATGTTACAGGAGTTGTGGCAGAAGAGCAGTTGTTAGGTTTTATTCAAACTATCATTCTTGACTTTATGTTCAGTAATTGTTGACCTAGAAAGTGAGATTGTGTTGCTGAATGCTAGAAAAAAACTGCTTCTGGAGGTGGGGGAGTTGAATAGTTTTAAAATCGTTTTGTAAGTTGGGTTATGTTTTTAGGTAGAGGGTATTTTTTTGTCATCTTTATTTCACCACCATGTTTTTCCTCTAGTCCTCATTGTTTTGCGTTTTGATGAATATCCTTGTGATTGTTCAGTTTTTAAGATGTCAAAGTAAATTTTAAAAAGTGATGAATGTACAAGGTAAGTGATTTGACTTTTTAAAAAATTGACTGATCACAAGAAATGTGGTAAAGAGTGTATTTAAAAGAATGTTTTACTAACATTTCTCATTTCATATTTTGTCTTTCTTTTCTCGATAATGCTATCATCATAGGTCTTGAAATCCTACATCGACTATAGATGAGACTAAATAAGTGCTTATGAAGACTAAAGCAACCATAACTTTACACTAACTTTTGGAGTTGAGTTGGGCTTAAAACTCAAATTCAACATGGTATCAAAGCTAATTGTAGATCTGATATTGGGCCAACCTTGATTGAAAAAAAAATAAATCTGGCCTCACGAAGCTCTGTGGATTTCCAGTGCAACTTACCTAGTCTTGTGGCTTTTCCAGTGCCACCTACCTAGTCCCGTGACTTATCCAGTGTTATATTAAATAAAAAATAGTCCTGCAATTTTCACGCTCTTGATGTCCAAATCTTGAGTATGAGGGGGTGTGTTGAAGTCCCACGTCAACTATATATATGACTAAGTAAAAGCTTATAAAGACTAAAGAAATTCTCACCTTACGAGTAAGCTTTTGAGGTTGAGTTAGGCTTAAAGTCCAAATTTAACAATAGGTTTGTCATTGACTCTTAAGAGAATGGTGACCCTGAATTATGCTTTTCAATGACTGAGAATGTTTCAGAATTACTTTATGCTGCTATCTTCGACAAATTCAATGAATATGCTGTCTAAATGGTACAGGGGTGCTGATGATAAGAAGGAATATCTTGTGAAGTGGAAAGAGCTTCCATATGATGAATGCTACTGGGAGCTTGAGTCAGATATCTCTGCATTTCAGTCAGAAATAGAAAGATTCAATGTATTTCAGTTGAGGTCCAGGAAAATTTTTTCTGGAAAACAAAAAAGTGGTGTTAAGGGTGGGGCTAAATTGAATAAACAGAAGAAAGAATTTCAACAGTACGAACATAGCCCTCAGTTTCTTTCAGGGGGTATGTATTTTGACTTGTTTATTCTTCTGGCAATGGCATGCTTCATATTTATTTTGTTAGATTTGGATGATCTTGATCACTTGATTTCTTATTCATCATCTAAATGAAGGTACACTGCATTCATATCAACTTGAAGGATTGAACTTCCTACGATACTCTTGGTCTAAGCAAACCCATGTTATACTTGCTGATGAAATGGGACTTGGTACTTTGTCTCTGTTTCTCTCTCTTATCCTCAGTCTTTTTATTCCCACCTTTTTTATTTGTTTCCTCTCTCGTATTAATTTAGAGTTTCAAGTAGAAGCATCACCTTAATAGCTGAGTTTTTCCTCGTCAGGAAAAACCATACAAAGTATTGCTTTCTTAGCATCCCTTTTTGAAGAGGATGTTTCTCCACATCTGGTGGTTGCTCCACTTTCAACTTTGCGAAACTGGGAACGAGAATTTGCTACTTGGGCACCTCAAATGAATGTTGTATGTATACAAGACTTAGCTATATTTCCATTTTATGCATTCACGCTTCTAACTAGATGTTGGTTTCTGTAGGTCATGTATTTTGGATCTTCCCAAGCTCGTGCTTGTATTAGAGAGTATGAATTCTATTTTCCAAAAAATCAGACGATAAAAAAAAAGAGATCTAGACAGATAGTTAGTGGAAGCAAAGAAGAAAGGATAAAATTTGATATCCTGTTGACATCATATGAGATGATAAATTTTGATACAGCATCATTGAAACGAATAAAATGGGAATGCATGGTAAACTTCTACTCATCATTCTAGCACTAGAACCATAAAAATAAATTTGTCATTTGCCTCTAGTGCTTACCACTTGATTTCGTTCTCAAATTTACTTTTGTACATAATGCTGACAACTTGACATCTACATGCAGATAGTTGATGAGGGTCACCGTCTTAAAAACAAGGATTCTAAATTATTTTCTTCATTGATGCAATATTCTAGCAGACATCGTGTGCTTTTGACAGGAACTCCGCTTCAGGTTTATTTTAAATTATGCTACTATGCTATAGCTATAGCTGATTTAGGCCCAATTTAGATAAACTTCTAGAGAAGTTTTAGTAGGAGAGAAAAATCAGTATAAAAAATAAATAAAACTCCTTTTACAAGTTATATATATATTTTTAAAAAATTCTGAAAAATTCTCTTATTTAACTTCTCTAAAATTTGAAGAGAAAAGTTATTTTTAACTTATAAAGAGTTTATTAATTTTTTATAATGCTCTTTTTTCTTAAAAGGGTGTTACTGCATGATAATGTCTTAACATTTTTTAGCATTGGTTAATTTGATTGTGTTTGGTTTATTTAAAAAGATTTTACTGCTAAGAATTTATTTTCTCAAAATTGATTCATTCACTTAAAGGTTTTTTTTTTTTTTAATTTGGATTCATATATAAAGATAGACACGTTTTAAGGGTGTTTAATATATCCAACATAATTTTTTTGGTTACTTTAATGTTCTTTTTATAATATTGATATAATGTTAATGCTAGTTTATGGAGAGGTGGAGGGATAGATCTATGTAACAGAAGAGAAAATAACAAAAAGATTAATGCAAATAGAGTGTGTTATTTTAGCTATAAAAATTGGTATCCCAAAATAAATATATTGTTAGATGTTTCTATTGGTTAGGAATAAAGTCATAGTACTCCTTTAAGTGCTTAGATAGTTTTCTTCATATGAACTAGTTTTTGAGAGTGAGTTAGGCTTAAGTTTCTTAATATAGTATTAGAACTTATCCAGTTTGAATGTGAGACTGCCTATAAATGTTCAATCATGTTAGGTTACTTGCAGATGTTTAGTTCTGCAAACTTCATGCACCAGATGGAAATGTGTTAAGATGTTCTACATTGGTTAGAAATATAGCCAATATACTCTTTATAAGGGCTTGTATAGTCCTCTTATAAGTTAATTTTTAAGAGTGAGTTAAGCCCAAGTTTCTTAATAGATACAATTCCTCCTAAGTTATAACTCCTATTCTAGGGGTTTTACTATGTGCCACTAAGTCATGAAATACTTTCCTATCTTCTCTGTTTCCTATTCCCTTTTCTTATAGTAACCCCATACTACATAACAGACTTCTCACTCACTCTCTAACTACCTGCACGTTGGCATTATTTCTCCAAGAATAGACACGACATATAATGGGCCTGGTGGTACCCTCATCCATGATCCATTAGCTGACCCTCTTCCATATTTTCATGCAGAAGCCTAACATGGAGCTATCAAAAGTTGAGCCTTTTCATCATAACCCTAAACCCTAAACACTCCATTTATTAATCAACAATTAAACTAGAGAAGTTATTTGAAACTCAATTCTTTCAATGAGAGCTTAACCTTGAGAGCACAGCAACATAATTACAGAATTTTGCATTTTGAATGAATCTTTGTATGTATGATAGCTAGATTTCAGTATTTATGCAACACTACTTGGTTCTTTTCTCATAATGGTGTATTGGCACAATTTTTATTTTTTCATCATTTACATAAAAAGTATATTAAACTGTTAGAATTTATTAAAATCTTGTAAATATAGTAACTATATATTTTGTAATTATGTACTCTTCCTTATAAATTTGAATAACTCCATTTTGTCCTAAAACACACAGATTCAATATTTTCTCCCTCAACATGGTATCTAGAGCCTAGAGCGGCAATCCTAATCACTTTTTTTTTTCCCGCTGGACCCCTGTTCACCGGTGCCTTTTCTTTTCGGCATCGCCGCCACCGTTCACCACTATTCTGGTGCTGCCACCGCTGCTGTCTGACCTTCAATCACTATGGCAACCCCGCTGTGTGGTTGCTTTTATCAAATCAGCCGAACCCCGTTGACGGCGCCTTCATCAAAGTCCTCACGTGCCCCATGCACCACCTCTCCTCTGTTGGTTTTCTTATGTGCCACCTTCTCTCTCCGCGCATGACGGCGCGTCCGACGTCTTTTCTTGGTGCCGTCGACTGGGGTTTGCTTGCCCCTCTCTCCTTGACTTGTATCCGGTCTCTGTTAGTTGTTTGGACATCTATTCGACCTTGTTTTGTCCTTTTTCGCTGCTGTTTGGTCATTTTCTCTCTCTTCTCGCTGACTAATGGCTGCCTCTAGCACTTCCAAAGCCGACACTCAGTTTTTTATCAACTATGTCACTGCACCTCTCTCTTTTGAGTAGTTGGATGGTAAGCACTACTCCTCCTGGGCTTCTTACTTTGAACTTTGGCTTGTTAGACAAGATTATGAGACATATTTCACCCAAATAGCAGATGATGTCCCGGAAGTTGACTGTCCTATATGGAAAAAGGTTGACGCTCAGCTGTGCTGTATCATTTGAACCACCATTCACCTATCTCTTTGTGATGTCTTTCACACTCACAAAACCTGTAAAGCTGTTTGGATACAGGCCCAACAACTCTTTACAAATAGTTCTCGACAATTCTACCAAGTTTGTGAATACCTCATGACTATCCTTAGTGCCCATCAGATTAAGGATTCTATGTCGACCTATCTTGGCTCGGTATCTAGCCTTCTTTGTGAGTTCAACGAATTGCTTCCTCCCGCTGCCACTTCAGATGCAGAACTTGACAATCGTAAGAAGTTTTTCATGTCCTTGGCTCTATACAGTCTGTCCCCCGAATATTCTCATGTTTGTGATCAGATTTTGGAGAGCCTCACAGAAGCTACTATGGACAGTACTTGGGCGACCCTCCTTCGTGTCCCTCCCAAAACCTCCTCTAAACCTTTGCTCCTTACTCCTATTGACTCTTCGGCTTTGGTTTCTCGCAACACTAACCAACCTCTACAGCGAAAGGGCAGCAAAGGACGTCCCTAGTGTGATATTGCCACCGATCGGGACACACAGACTTTACATGGTCGACCTCCTCGCACTACCCAGGTGGCCCAAAGTTCTGTGTCTCCTTCATCTACTTCTGCTTTGCCGTTGGCTTCAGATCCACATGCATCACCTTCTTATGACGATCGTCAGGCCTCCGGTTCCACTGCTGCTGTTGTACACATTGGTAATTCCTTCATTGGTCTCTCTCACTCTTTAGGCCCTTGGGTCCTTGACTGTGGGGCCATCGATCACATTATTGATAATAAATTCTTTTTTTCTTCACTTTCTACTTTTGATTATTTACCTTTTGTTATCATTGCAAATGACTCTCAAATTCAGTCTCAAGGTGTTAGTGTTGTTCATCTTCTTACCTTTCTTCCTTATCTTCTATTTCTATTCCTAAGAATGTAGGTGATGCATTTGCCCATCCAAGATGGCAACAAGCTATGCTTGATGAGATGTGTGCATTACAGAACAGTGAAACTTGAGATCTTGTTCCTCTACCACCAGGGAAGTCAGTTGTTGGTTGTTGGTGGGTGTATATGGTCAAGGTTGGTCTAGACAGCAAGGTTGATCGGCTTAAGGCCCGTCTCGTCGCCAAAGGTTATACTTAAATTTTTGGATTGAATTATGGCGACACTTTCTCTTCCGTGACCAAATTGCCCTCTGTGCGACTATTTCTGTTCATTGCTGCCATTCGTCATTGGCCTTTCTATAAATTGGATATCAAGAATGTTTTCTTACTTGGTGATCTGCTCAAGGAAGTGTACATGGAACAACCTCCTTGTTTTGTTGCTCAGGGGAGGGGAGTCCTCTGGTCTTGTATGTCGACTACGGAAATCTTTATATGGCCTCAAGCAGTCACCTCGAGCATGGTTCAACATATTTAGTATTGTGATTCAACAGTTTGACATGACTCAGAGTGAGACTAACCATTCTGTCTTCTATCGTCACTCACCTACTAGTTGCATCTACCTAGTTGTTTATGTTAATGACATCATGGGTAGTGATCATCGTGACATCGCACAGGTAAAGTAGCATCTCTTCAAATATTTTCAGACAAAAAATCTTGGCAAACTCAAATATTTTTTAGGAATAGAAGTAGCACAGTCCAAAAATGGGATCATCGTTTCCCAAAGAAAGTATGCAATAGATATTTTGGAAGAAATAAGAATGTTAACTTCCAAGCCAGTCTACACTCTCATGGATCCCAATGTCAAGCTTCTGCCAAATCAGGAGGAGCCTCTTCTAGATTCTAAAAGGTACAGACGATTAGTAAGAAAGCTGAATTACCTCATTGTTACCCGTCTAGATATCTCATTCGCAATGAGCATAGTAAGTCAATTCCTCAATTCTCTATGTAAGGAACATTGGGATGTAGTGACTCACATTACATCAAAGGAGCTCCAGGAAAGGCTCTTTTGTATGAAGACAAAGGACACACTCAAGTTGTGGGGTATTTTGATGCAGAATGGGCATGATCTCCCATAGATAGAAGGTCCACTTCTGGATTTTGTATATTTGTCGGAGATAACCTTGTCTCTTGGAAAAGTAAGAAGTAGAATGTTGTAGTTTGGTCCAGTGCGAAAGCGGTGTATCGAGCTATGGCTATAGCGAGTCAGGAGCTTATATGGCTCAAACAGTTGCTTTAAGAACTAAAGTTCGGAGAGGTCACACATATGTCACTTATATGTTATAATCAAGCCGCCATGCACATTGCCTCAAATCCAGTATTACATGAAAGAATAAAACACATTGAAATTGATTGCCACTTTGTCAGAGAGAAAGTCATGTCCGGAGAAATATCTACTAGTTTTGTCAATTTCCATGATCAACTAGCAGACATATTTACTAAGTCACGAAGAGATCCTTGGATTAACTACATATGTAACAAGCTTGGTGCATATGACCTATATGTTCTACCTTGAGAGGGAGTGTTAGAATCTATTAGAATCTAATAAATATAGTAATTGTATATTTTGTAACTATGTACTTTTCTCTATAAATTTGAATAACTCCACTGTGCCCTAAAACACATGGATTCAATATTTTCTCTCTCAACATAAACTATTGTTCTTTCTATGGCGCATTTAATTTCTGTTCTAGTTCTGGATCAGCAACTCTTCTTATCTAAAGTGCATGGCTAGATTTTTCTAGTTTTCTATTGAAAGTTGCTTATGGTGACTTGTCTAATAGGACTTCATAACTTTTAGTGCATATTATTGATTTATATATCCTGGTAACATGTATTTCCTTTTTTCTATTGGAAATTGAAAACCTACTTGACAAATTGTTTGATGCATTTCAGAACAATCTGGATGAACTTTTTATGCTTATGCACTTCCTTGATGCTGGGAAGGTTGGTATGAGGACTAGTTTTTAAGACAAAGCATGATCATTAAGTTATATGATAAACTCATGAAAGTCAGGAGTATCTTATTCATATGGTCTTTGTTTGGCTTCTGGTAGTTTGGAAGTTTAGAGAAGTTCCAGGAAGAGTTTAAGGACATCAATCAAGAGGAGCAGATTTTGAGACTTCATAACATGTTGGCACCGCATCTCCTGCGAAGTATATATCTTTCTTTTTCTTGAATAAATCACATATTTCACCTGATTTGCACATCAGGATTACTGCTCATGCTCAGATTTGTTATATAGTACTGAGTCTATTGGTTGAGCTTATTTCTTATGTTAATTTTTTGTTGCATTCTGTGTTCCTTGCTTGGATGATGGTGAACGTGTTTTTCCAGCTAGTGGTGATCATCGGATTTTGTAATTTGTTCAATATGTCTAATTGATCAGATCTTTAAGTATAACTGAGAAAAAGGAATAAGTCTTTTTTCTCATATCTCTGACCCTTTTTAAGATTACTTCAAGAGAATATATAACATCAAACATCTTAGTAAGTGTTAAGAAAGTGACTGGCTGTTTGTTTGCTTAGGATGTAGATCACATTTCAAATTGTGGAGTATCCCATTTCATTCTGTGCACTCTCAAATAACCTTTTTCTTATAGAAATTTGTCTGTGATCACTTAGAAAGAAGTGGTAGATCATAGCAGAAGTTTTAGGTCTTATTGGAACTGTAGACCATTAGATCAACTTGAAGTAGAATGGTTGGCTGGCAGTTGTTGAAATGGTCTGTATAGGAACTGGCACAAGAAATTTTTTAAGATATTGATTTTATTGAAGAAAAAAATTGATGTTGAGTTACTGAAGGGATACTAATATTGTTTGGTTTCCCTTGTCCAAATGAAGTCCATTAGTTGCCGTAGATTCAGAAAATTTGATTTGATTTATGTAATTTTGTCATGGTAGAAGGCTGTTCCTTATTTGCTTCATCATTCTAAAGTTGTGATAATATACTTAGTAGTCAGTATTTTGCTTATATAAGATGAATATCTGAAATGTTGATTCAAACTTTTTATGCCACTGCAGGAATGAAGAAAGATGTCATGACGAAACTGCCTCCTAAAAAGGAACTTATTTTACGTGTTGAATTAAGTAGCAAACAGAAAACATACTATAAGGCAATTTTGACCCGTAATTATCAGATATTAACTCGCCGAGGTGGGGCACAAGTAAGATTCATGTTTTAGTAACTATACTTTTGAGTGGTCCATTCTTAACCTTAGCTTCAGAAGAAAAAACATCTTCACAGTATTGGTAATTTAGGATTACATATTTTGTGTGTTCTTGAATCAGATTTCTCTAATCAATGTTGTTATGGAACTGCGCAAGCTCTGTTGTCATCCCTACATGTTACAAGGAGTTCAACCTAATCTTGATGATGAAAAAGAATCATACAAGTAATCTCTTATGCTATTTCCTCTGAGTACCATTACAGTTTTCTGTTTGAAACACACATTACTCTGCTTTTAGCGCTAAATCCTATGTCTGTTTTTATATAGAATTGAAAATTGTTAACTTTTTTTCACATTTATTTTACAGGCAGCTGCTGGAATCATCTGGGAAGTTGCAGTTGTTGGACAAGATGATGGTGAAGCTTAAAGAGCAAGGACATAGAGTCCTGATATATTCCCAATTTCAGCACATGCTTGATTTGCTTGAAGATTATTGTTCTTATAAGGTAGTCATTTGATGATATTCTATGACCTAAGATCGAAGGTGATAAGGTTTCAAAGACTGATTGAGTGAAAATGAACTCAGCCTCAAGAAATTTATATCACATAATCAATACAGAATACAATTTACAGGAGAAAAATATTAAATTCTAACTCTACTTCCTTAGTTACAATGTATCTAGGCGACTTGGTAAGTGAAACAGTCATTATGTAATTTCCTACACTATGTTACTGAGCTTTTGGTTTTTTCAGAATCTGCACTAAGTTGAATTTTTTTGTGATATTGACTTTGCATTGTTTTTGTATTGTTTTTAAATTAGCACTGGCTGTATGAAAGGATAGATGGCAAAGTTGGTGGAGCTGAAAGACAAGTACGCATAGATCGGTTCAATGCTAAAAATTCTTCAAGATTTTGTTTTCTTCTTTCTACTAGAGCTGGGGGATTGGGGATAAACCTTACAACAGCTGACACAGTTATCCTATATGACAGGTGAACCATTAAATTTGGCAACTATTTTTCCTTTCATTTTCTTCTAAATCTATATTCTTTTATTGAAATAAATAGTTAACAAATTGGCCATGAAAAATTTGTGGTTTGAAGTTTTTTTTGTTTACTTTTTTTACGTTACAAATCTAAAGTTAGTTTATTATGTTAAGAATCTGATGGCCAGTTATTCACAGTCCTTGTTTCTTTTTCTGAGTGATTGCCATCTTATTGCTGTTGGTAATAAGCTGATAAATATTTTCTGCTGGACTCTGTGTTTAAACACACAAACTAGAAGATTTTATTGAAAGAATTTCAGAATTAACCTGAAATTGTAGTACGGAAAAGTAACACAGGCCTAGGCCCTGAGAAGGAGTTTCCTCCTTCAAACTGACTTCAGCAATTTAACACAATGAATCACAAATCTGTCATGCCTCCTACTTAGGAAACAAACACATAATGGCCATAATACAACCCTTCACGTAACTGTACTATATTTAAGAAGTGCACAAATAATTGCCGTACCACATCCTTATCTGTTCTATCATTTTGTTTCTTTCTTTTTGGCATTATATGTTAATATTATGAATATGACATGTGAACTGCAGCTGCTACGTTACCTTTTGCTCTATTACCCTCCTTGATAAGTGCAAGGAATGCTTGTATAAAATGCTTGACAATTGTTTTCTTTAGCTCATTTCTTTACGGTGGATCTTTACAAATTACAGTACTGCAGAGAAGTATACTCATATTCTTATAATTAACAGTTGGCACTCTGATTATAGTCCTTTTGATGCTGATAATCTGTATGATGCTGAAAGATTTATTTATTTATTTATGTATTTGTGTTTATTGTCTAATTTAGTCCAACTATTTTCGACTGTAATTTCTAATCCAACTGACACTCTACAGTGATTGGAATCCTCATGCTGATTTGCAAGCCATGGCCAGAGCTCATCGACTTGGACAAATTAACAAGGTTGTAGCTTGTTTTTCATTAATATGCAGTTGATAATATTTGACTTGAAATGTCACATACTAACAGTAGTTCTTGTGTTATAGGTGATGATTTATAGGCTTATAACAAGAGGAACAATTGAAGAAAGGATGATACAGATGACAAAGCAGAAAATGGTTTTAGAACACCTAGTTGTAGGGAGGCTAAAGGCTCAAAATATTAACCAGGTGAATAGTCAGTTTTTTAAAATGATGTCCCATGTTTTCAAAATTGATGACAACAGTTTTCGGTCCCATTGCCAAAGTCACATGTATGTAATTCATATTGCTTAGGTGCTATTTTCTTAGTTCTTTTTCTTATTATTTTTAAATAAAAAACAACGATATTGACAAAAATTACAGAAACTGGATGTAAATGGATGTGGACTGGTTGTTTAGCATTTGGTCTTCTGTCTTAGGAACAGAAATCTCTTCTTTTGTCAAATGAATATTCATATATGCTCTATTATAGCCATCATTCTAATTACCATTCACTGTCTTGTTTGTTTTATCTTCTAGTAAAAATATTGATAACATGTTGGTATTATCCTATTATTCATTATATTTGAACAGGAAATATCTGTGTTAGTAAATAGCTGCCACAGCAGATAGTGATAGTGGATATAAGGGAATCTGCTGTCAAAATGCAGTGGCGTGGTAGCAGTGCCATGGCAAGCCCGATGGTCATGATTTCAAATTTTTATTTCTCTTTAGGGGATATTTGGGAATTGGGAGGGATGGGAAGGGGAGTTACAAAAAGGAAATAAAAAAGGAGGGAAATAAAGAGTACCGGGGGGGGGGGGGGGGATAAGTAATGAGTTTTCTTTCTAGTTTTTGTGAGTTTGATTGAGTCTGAGATATGCATACCATTTTTCTAACATACCAATGTCAAATCTTGGTTAGGAAATTTGAGTTAGAAAATTTGAGTTCTTAATGATAAATTGAATTATATCCAATTATAAAGCTGTATGTATGAAGGTTTGATTGTAACTATTATCTGTTGATTGTTCTTAGGAAGAGTTAGATGATATTATAAGGTATGGCTCAGAAGAGCTATTTGCTGATGAAAATGATGAAGTGGGAAAATCTCGCCAAATTCATTATGATGCTGCTGCTATAGACAGGTAATCAGGGACTTTTTATCACTTGAGTAAAATATGATTAAACTTAAGAATTTTATTTCATGCGTATTTCTTCATAATAGATTGCTGGATCGTGATCAAGTTGGAGATGAAGATGCTACTTTGGATGATGAAGATGAAGATGGATTTCTGAAGGCCTTTAAGGTTGATTCTATCATATAATCCTGCATATGCCTTGTGCTCCTAATTTATATTGTACCTTAATTGCTTCATTTTGTTTGGTGGTGATTTGAGATTTAACTGATTTCTACTCCATCATTTGACATTTTAAATCTCTTGAAATCTTATTTTTCTGTTTTAATAAATACTTAAGCTTCATTATCTCACCATGACACGTTATATTTGGTGTTGGTACTTATTTTTATATATATGTTCTAGCCATATTCTAAAATCCATTGGTTCATCATCATTATTTGTTTTCCATGGGTAAATAAATGAGGTTTTCTATTTTCAATCATGTGTCTTATTGCCTTGGGGTCATGATTTGCTCAAAAGCACTAGTGCTTGCATTTCTTAGTTCATTGTCTTCTTTTATTTCTTGCTTTATTGGATACCTTTAAGATTCTTATTTCACACACACACACACACTCTCACACATATTATTATTTTTCCTCTTCTTTTGAAATTTCTTTCCTTCAGTTTTTGTAATGCCTTAATTGCAACATTTGTTTTGTATAACTTCTGAATTAGGACAACATTAGAACATGTTGGAAATAAGATATCCTTTTTTTACCGATCAATTCAAGTCTTTTTGACTGTTAAAGTGATAGTTTCTTCCCTTCTTTATTATATTTGTAAATGAAAATTTTCTTGGGCTTGAACTATGTAATAACTACTGCAAGTTGAAAATATTCCAAATAAAATAATGTTAAAGTTTGGAAATTTAGAAAATTGATAACTTGACATAAGTGTGAAAATGAATTTGAATAGTGTTAAATCCAGAAGCACCATTTTCTTCAATGTTTCTACGAAAGCAAATTGTTCCCAGTGGTACTGCTTCATACTTCAGGGGTCCAGGAAAAATTTATGTAGCTAGTAAAATGACTTCAATTTTTTGTTTGAAGAGAATTCACCCTATATTTAACTATAAACACCTATTTTGCTTTTATTATAATAACAAATAATTGCTCATAATCTCTTTGTTCTCATTTGGGTTCTTTGCTTTGCATTGACTAAATGGATTATATGTTCTAGGTGGCAAATTTTAAATATATTGATGAAGTTGAGAGTGCAGAGGAGGGGGCACAAAAAAGAGCAAAGGAGAATCAATCATATGAGAGCAATTCCGAAAGAACAAATTACTGGGAAGAGTTGTTAAGAGACAGATACGAAGAACATAGACTTGAAGAGTGTAATGCCTTTGGCAAAGGGAAGCGGAACCGCAACAAATTACCGGTATGTTGCATGGGTATTAATGCTGTATTAATCAATGAGAGAATTTTTTATAGGTAATTACTACGATGCCTTGTAAATTAAGATGACATTCTATGCCCTCTCACACATGGAAAAATTATTACCGTTGATTTTATGTTTAATATATATAACATATAGTGGGAGTTAGTGTTTTATTTGAAAAAGACAAAAATGTCCTTTAATTTTTGAGATATTAAAGGAATCACAATTGTTAATTTAAAGAGAGTATAAAATTCCCTCTCAAATTTATAGGCACTGTAGTAAACACTTTTTTTTTTTATATTTTTTTTTGTCTTTAATGAGTTTGTGCATGATACATTCAATTGTTCCATTAGTGTTTTAATGTTTGTTTCTATTTTATTAGTGTTATGGAACCTGTTTCTTTTTCTTTTCCTTGGCTGATTTTTTACAACTAAATATTGACATCTAGGATTTTGATACTTGAAATTGTGTGTGCACTTTTTTTCCTCATCTTTCAGTTGTGCTTTTGTTAAGGTTGTATCTGCAATTCCCTGACTTTCCAGATGGTTTCTTATGAGGAGGATGGTTTTAATGGTTTGGAAGACATGAGCTCTGATGATGAAGAGGACAAATATGAAGAGGATCTTACGAGTGATGACTCAAAATCAACTGGAACTACTACTACTACTAGAAGACCTCTCAAAAAGAAAGCTAGAGGTACATATCAGTATATACATATTGAGTATTTATTGATATTTGATAATGATGACTTAGATTACCTGTTCTTGACTGTTAATTTTTCCTTTACTCATTTACAGCAGATAGCACAGAGCCACTTCCTTTAATGGAAGGTGAAGGGAAATCTCTCAAAGTACTTGGTTTTAATCAAAATCAAAGAGCTGCTTTTGTTCAAATTTTGATGAGGTTATCACCTGATTGTTGGTTTATGGTTATGTCTAGTCTCTTTTTTAATCTTATGTATTGGAGAAAGGGTTTTGCACGGAAATATCTGTGGTTTATCTCATTTGGTGAATCAATTACAGGTTTGGGGTTGGTGATTTTGATTGGAAAGCGTTTACTTCCTGCATGAAACAGAAGACTTATGAAGAAATCAAAGAGTATTAATCTGATATTTTTCATTTATTTGTTTCATTTTATAATTTATAGTTTTACAGTTTTTTTTAACATATGCTCTACAACACACAATAAAAACCTGTATATCATATATTTTTATTGAAAATCACATGATATCATAAGATCCAATGTATTGATAGCATTAAATGCTAAAATTTTCAATAAAAACTTTTTATTCATTGATTTCTTATTGTGTGCCATTGAGCATGCATTAGAAAAACCAAGTATTATTTGGATTTATGCCATGGTTTTTTTATTGCTATAAAACTTGAAGATTTTTATGGTATATATTTATTTCTTTTTGTGAGGGGGTATTAGGTGACACTTGAGCCCGTGTATTCTCAACAGAAAAAGAAAATAGTAACAGATAGATACTGATAACAATAAATTTATGGATTTTAATTACACTGATCTTTTATATACATAAGTATCTTAATAGTGTTGTATATGCTCAGTCAGAAAATATGATGTTATTGGCTACAAATTGCGTGCCTCTACTACATACTAGACGTGGGTGAACTGCATATCTTCAATGCTATTTTGTTGTCATACAATTCGTAGCTAATTGTTTTTGTTAAAAACAATTTGGCTTAAATAGCAGTACTAAAAATGTAAGGGTAGAACAAGATGATAAAAGAGAGAAGATTTTTTTAAATCTAAGTACAATTCATCAAATTTGTGGCCTCCCAGATTATTATTTGATTTATCTTTTCATATATCACTTTTAAATTTTGAAAAATACTGGATATGTTATTTTACTGACAATTTACAATATGTATGTGCATAAATTTGAGGCATAAGCATTTTTTGTTCTTGGATGACTACATCAATGACCAGCATGCAGGTGCTGGATGTGTATTTGATTGGAAAAAAGCATTTGTAAACTTGCTCTGCACAATGGTTGAAATGGGCAGTTAGAAACTATTTACTATATAATCATTTTCATAGTACAGTATGATATAGCTTTTAAACATTGTTTAATAACTTGTTATTATGTGGTTTGTATCATGCCTTAAACATTCTATGTGAGTGAATGTGACTTGTATATATATATATATATATATATATATATACACAATATTGTACAGGTATGGAACACTTTTCTTGTCTCATATTGCTGAAGATATAACTGATTCCCCTACATTTGCAGGTAATAGATCCTTATTGCTGTAATATTTTGTCAGTTTTTTATTTTTACCCTTTGTTTTTTCTGAGTTTACTCATTCCACCACATCTCATCCCCCTTGGTGCTAATAATAATGTGTCTTTAGATGGTGTTCCAAAAGAAGGACTTCGAATACCAGATGTACTTGTAAGGATTGCTGTTCTGCTCTTGATAAGGGAAAAAGTAAGTTCAAATAAAATTTCTATATTTTGAAACTTAAAATTGCTTGTTTTTAGTTTATTATTTTTGGCATTATGCTCTCTTACTGGCCCCCTTACACCCAATATAAAATAATTTATGACAAGTTTCTAGAATGGAAATCTTGTTTAAAACTATTTACACTTTAGGACTGATTAACCTTGTTAGGAGGTGGGTAAAACGAGTAAATCACTGAATGGCTTAGGGCCCATGTGGTTTACTATCAAAATCAATGTTCCGCACTGACACATGTTCCAATGTAAAATCTGTAGCTGAAATTAATTTAGGCATACATTCCAATCATGTTCAGTAATTCAAAATCAATTGTATCAAATTAAATTCTCCCAACATCTAAGAAAATAGACACATAATCACTTAATTAACTACTTGTGTGTGTAATTGTTCTAAATTAGAAATCTTTTACCAAGAATTCCCTTCTTGTAATGATCCCAGAAAATTGTCATGCCTAAAGTATATTTCATGAGAATCTATATTTAGTTTGACCTTTATTCTATTTACATTCTTCTAGTTGTTCCCTTTAATATTTTGCTTTCCAGCCTTGTTCAAGTTGTTTATTTGTGGTTGTTTCCAGAAGAACCTAGGCTTAGGGATATTAAATAATTGGTGGCTTCATCGATTTATGTAATATATAAGGACCAAAGATCCATTGACATAAAGATATTTTATTTCTCTTCTTAAACTGGTGGAGAGGTAGAATAGAGTTAGTTTTATTATTTTTCCTTTTTTTATTGATCGTGAATTGTTGATCAATTATATGTGAAAAAAGTTATATATATATATATTGTCATTCATATATGGAAATCTGTGATTCTCATATTACTTCTATATGTATGTTGTATAGTTTTTTTTAGTGAAATTAAACTTTATGCATCTAATTTATTACTTTATTTGTTTTTCATTTTGTTGAAAGGAGTGGTGATATATAACTTCGAAGTTAATATTTCCTCTACCTGATGAATGTGTTTTCTTTTTCTTGGAATGTGGAATGACAGGTGAAGTTTGCATCAGAAAATTCTCAGACTCCACTTTTTTCAGATGACATCTTAATACGCTATGCAGGTTTGAAGGGTGCAAATATATGGAAGGAGGAGCATGATTTAATTTTACTGCATGCTGTGTTGAAGTATGTCTTTTAATAGATAATTTTCCCTGTCATTGGCCAACTGCATTGCATCTCTTTCTGAAATGTCTTTCTATCTCTCTCTGATTGTACATAGTTTAATGTAAAAGATGTTCTAGATGCTTGTTATTAACTCTTAAAATATTTAGGCTTAAATACCACAATTTTATTATACATTTCTACTTAAGTTGTGTTTGAATGTTACTATTTCTATTTCAATTTATGATTTGTGAAAAATTAATTTGAAGGATTTTGAGTTTACTGCCTCATAACCTTTAGGTATTTTAATTGATATAATTTTTTAACTTTAATTATTTTCAATAAAGGCATGGCTATGGAAGGTGGCATGCCATGGTTGATGATAAGGATCTGAAGATTCAGAAGGTTATCTGTCAGGAGTTGAATCTCCCCTATATAAATTTACCAGTTCAAGGACAAGTTGGTTCTCAAGTCTGCACCAGTGGACATATGTCAAATGTGGAATCCACACACAACCAATCTGGTGAAAATGGTAGGAATGAGTCAAATGACATAGCAGCTCATGGTGCAAATATGGAAAATGTGAAATTGACATGCAACCAATCTAGGGAGAGTGGCAGGAGGAGTGACATGGAAGCTGATGGTGCACACGGTTCTGGTGATGCTAGGAACCAAGCACAGTTAAATCCTGAGTCCTCCACATTGTATCAGTTTAAAGATATACAAAGAAGACAGATTGAGTTTATAAAAAAAAGGATACTCCTATTGGAAAAAGGTCTCAATGCTGAGTACCAGAAAAAATACTTTGTAAGTGAATTAATACTTTATGGCTCTCAAATTTGAAAATGCTGATTGATCATTTATGTTATACTTGTATCTGGAATTTCCTTGTGTGAGATATAGTCAATAATAAAAAAAAGCCAACAGCTTAGTTTTGCTAGGATCTAGCCTTGTAGCTTGGTTGAGATGAAATCATGAAACCGAAAAAAAATGAAGAAAAAGAGAACATTTCTGTTTTATTTTTGCTTATTATTTTTAAGGGTTGGGCTGGGGTGATGAAAAGTGATAGGAAAATGCAGGAATGGAGGACAAGGTTTTTGGATCAGAACAAAAATTACAAAACAATCATAAGAAAACATCAGCCCATTAGCGCCCTGCAATCCAACAAATTAGACCCCTAAAAGGACTATTAGCAGAAACTCGGAAGAATGGTAGTTAGGCAAGCCCATCCCAGATAAAATTTGATCACAAATTACTTTTCTTGGAAACTTGGGGAATCACAAGTCCAATGCACTGTAAGCAGGTTCCTAATACTTTATTTCTTCCAAAATCCCCAAAGTAAATAGTAGGGAAGTGCTCCAAAGAGTTTATGTTCGAGATGCTGACACACAGATCCCTAATTTGCAAAACTTATTCTTATGCAATTTGAAAATTTAATATAGATTAGAAGACTTAATCTTAGGATAGTAACAGATCTCTTTGCATGTATAACCAACTTGAGAATACCCAAGAACCTGTTCTCTGGGCATTGGTGCTCCATCCTTTAGATGAATAAGGTAGATAATACCTGAGTGCAATTGTCAATAACTTTTGTCTGTGTTCAAATACTCTTTTTTGTCTCATGGAAGGGGCAGGTCACGATTTGATTTATCTCTGTAGGTTTTAACAGCTTCGGATTAAAGTGGTGAGCTGCTTTTAATATTTTCTAAAAAGTTATTTCCCTCTGGTTAAGATGAGAGAAAACAAGAAGGCCTGAGAGGAATTTCATGTCTCAACTACACCACGAGATGTATATTTATATTGATAACAAGAATTGTAATCATAGTTGCAAAATTAAGGATAAATATACGGTTACCTAATAACTATAATTATATGGATACTATTTTCTTAAATAATATATTTTCATATATTTAACACTCCCCTCAAGTTGGAACATATAAATCATATACACCGAGCTTATCACATATGTAATGAATATGAGGACCTCTTAAAGAATTTGTGAACACATCTGCCACTTGATCATTTGAATTCACAAAATTTGTGGCGATAACTCCGGATAAGATCTTTTTACGAATGAAGTGACAATCAGTCTCAATATGCTTTGTTCGTTCGTGAAAGACTGGATTTGAGGCAATGTGTAAAGCTGCTTGATTATCACAAATGAGTGTCATTTGTGTATCTTCTCCAAATCTCAATTCTTTAAGTAGTTGTTCAGCCATATAAGTTCACATGTGACTGAAGTCATGACTCGATATTCTACTTCTGCACTAGAAAGAGAAACCACATTTTGCTTCTTGTTCTTCCAGAAAATTAGATTACCTCCAATTAAAACACAATAGTCAGAGATGGACCTCCTATTATGAGAGCTTGTATAACCTGCATCAGAATATCCAAAAATCTTATCATGACTCTTGTCCTCGTACAGGAGACCTTTTACTAGAGCACCTTTGATATACTTCAAGGTGCGAATCAATGCATCCCAATATCCTTCGCAAGGAGTGTTGAGGAACTGATTTACCATACTAACAGCAAAAGAAATGTCAAGTCAAGTAACTGTGAGGTAATTTAGTTTACTAACCAATCTTCTATACTTTTCTAAGTCAACAAGAGGCTCCTCTAACTTGGTAGAAGTTTAGAATTAGGATCCATAGGAGTATCAATAGATTTGGCCCCCATTAAACCTATTTCCTCCAATATATCCAATGCATATTTTCTTTGAAAAATTACAATACCATGCTTGGATTGTGCCACCTTTATTCCCAAGAAATATCGAAGTTTTCCAAAGTCTTTTATGTGAAAATAATGACATAAGTGGTTCATCAACTATGTAATGTCATGATAGTCACTGCCAGTAATAACAATATCGTCCACATACACAACCAAGTATATGCATCTTGTGATTGAATGGTGATAAAAAACTGAATGATCAGCTTCACTTCGAATCATCCCAAACTATTGGACAACGATGCTGAATCTACCAAACCAAACTCTTAGAAACTGTTTAAGACCATACAAGGATTGCCAAATACCACAAACTAATCCTAAAGACTCCCTCCTGAGCAATAAAATCAGGAGGTTGTTTTATATAAACTTCTTTAGCAAGGTCGTCATGAAGGAATGCATTTTTAACATCAAGTTGATGAAAGTTCCAGTGGCGGATGACAGCCATGGACAAGATCAAGCGCACAAAGTTCATTTTAGCAACCGAAGAAAATGTGTCACCATAATTCAAGTCAAAGATCTTAATATAGCCTTTTGCCACAAGATGAGTTTTAAGGCGATCCACTTGAACATCAGGACCCACTTTGACAGTGTATATCTATCTACCTGCAACCAATAATAGATTTACCTTAAGGAAGAAGAACGAGGTCCAAGTGCCACTGCTGTGAAGCGCACACATCTCATCAAACAAGAAGGCATGAGAAGAATTTCGTGTCTCAACTACACCACAGGATGTATATTTATATTGATAACGAGAATTGTAATCATAGCTACAAAATTAAGGACAAGTATATGGTTACTTAATTACTATAATTATATGAATAATATTTTTTTAAATAATATATTTAAATATATTTAAAAGATACTATTTCCCTAGATAATATATTTACATATATTTAACACCTCCAACACCCCCCATGTGTTAATTTTATGATTTTAGATTGAATTACATGTTTTATTTTCAACTATTACCATCATTTGTTATGTTAATTTAAATCCTTAGTCATAGCTATGGTAATGCTTTAACTGCGAAGGTTCCTTCTTTACCTAGTGTAGATCACACATTACTGTATAATGCATGGTTTGTCTTAAGAGTTTTGCTCCACTTGCTAGTTAACTGACTACCTTATGAACTTCTGCAGGGTGATTTGAAATCAATTGAGGTGGCAAATGAAGAATTTAAAGGTAAACCAATGGTTACAAATGTACCAAGTTATACATTTGGGGAGACTGGTACGCAAATGATTGATCAAGTGCCTCAAGTCAAAGCAATAGGTATTATACTATGTTATTAGCTTCGTCTCATGGTCAGACCGTACATTTGATAATTTTGCATCAGACAATGTATTAACGTGTTCTCTATATCTGTCATTTTGTGCTTCGGTATTTTTCTTTGAGGAACTTTTCTACAAATTTTCTGTGGCTAGTTGCATTCCCAAATGGAAGACTCATTTTCGTTCTTCCATTTTTCTGCAGGTTCAGAAGAAATTTCTGTTTCTGCATGTAATAATGATCCACATCGATTGGAATTAGTTCATCTTTACAATGAGGTAAAATTAAAAATACGTTTGTATCACCAGTCTTAATCATTGTTGCTTTCTTTATGAGGTATCACTGCATGATGTAACAAAAGGTGGGAAACAGTTTTATGCTGATTTTCTATATCAACTATCTTTCCCTCTCTATATTGGCAGATGTGCAAGACTATGGAGGAAAACACCATAGATTTAAATCGAACACCTTTGACAAGTGAATTGACAGAAGTCACTGTTATTAAGAACTTGCATCAACTAGAAATCATTTGTGAAGATGTCAACAGAATTCTAAATCAACAAAATCAACCTTCTGAAGTGCCTATGCTAAATTCTGACAACAAATCGGATATTTTATCAGAGACTGGAGTTGTGGGCTTTGAATTGCTTTCTACTCCTCAAGATGAATGCAAACCTAAACATGTGGAAATGGAATCTGAACCTAAAAAAGAAAACAAGCAGGTCCAGCCTCGTACAAGAGATGTATAAACTACCTAGTATTCCAAAGATGGGGAGCAGTTATCTAAAAGGATGGACGAAAACAGAATGAAACAAAGTTGAACGGCACAAGAGAAATCTGTTGAGATAATTTAATGGGATGACTATACGCAATAGACAGATCTTTGTCCTACCTTTTGGCGTAATAGTCTCAATTTTTTAACTCATATAGGAATATATAAAAAGGAAAGGCACCATAACCATATGGTGTTATATATCCCTTGCTTCAGAATTCATTGGAAATTGTTTATGTAGTAGCTTGTAAGAGGTCCCTTTTTTTATGAATTCCGACAGTTTGATCCATTGTATGGTTATTTACCTAAACTTATATTTGAAAATGTTGTGTTTATCAGTATTAGAGTATAGTCAGCTAAGCTTGAGATCTGTCTTAGTCATACTAGTTAGTCCCGTTAGTTGCAGATGGCTATTACAATTCAGTTAATAGCTCTTGTTACAGCTCTCAGTTACTTGTAACTATGTAATTAGTCATCTGTGTATGTGTGTATGTCACAGAAACTAGAATGGATCCTCTTCATTTCCTATAGGAAATTGACAAAATCTTAGCCATGAATTTTTTAAAAATATTAATTTTTAAACAAAATTTGTATTGTAATAATGTTAATTGTTAGATAAGGAAATAAACAAGGAAATAGAGAGAATCTCAACAGATTATTTTTATCAATGATAATAATTTAGATTTTCATTTCTTTTCAAATTAAAGCTTATTTCAATTCAAAACCACGGTAGATGTTCAAGTCAAGAGAATAATAATAATAAAAAAAAGATCTTGCTAACCAGAGCACTTAATGAATTAAAAATAAGTTTTTATTAAATTTTATGTTGAATTGCATTGAAAATTATAGATAGGTATATACATTATGTTTTTTGACAAGATTTTTTTTTTATTCTTTGATGAATTATCCAAAGACAATTGCCAGCATTTGCCTAAAAAAAGAGTATCTTCCAATCATAATCTTAACATTTGTACCCTCTATGAAATAAAATAGCCGAAGTTTACATAATTGAAGCCGTGAACTTTCTTGTCAAGGATTTGTTGAACAATTTAGTGTAAGTAATTCCATGTTAGAAGCATCTGCAGGTACTCTGTTTATCAGATAAGAAAGCATGGTCCTAGAGCTTGAGTGACATGTTGGCCTAAGCAAGGAGGGTAGCTCATAGTTTCGTTTAGACTTTGACGTCATGAATGTTTGTATTATCAGTTTTTTTAATGAGTATTTAAGGACATACAATAAAAAATAAATAAATTATTAAATTTTATTGAATATTGTAACATTTTGTAGTATTGTACAGTTTTCAATGTTTTGAATCTTGTGATTTTCTTAAAACTTACATTCTTATTGTATATTTTGAGAATATGTTAGAAAAATTGTGTAATTTAACGAGTCCAGATTTCCGTACAAGAACCCTTCTCTTCCTTAGTTTTGCCGCTTCACTTAACTTGTTGGGCTTCATCTGTCATCATTCATTCTCATTTCTAACCAATTGCCAGTTACACTCAATGCATGAATAAAAAATGGGTCCAAGTTTGGAATTTATACACCTTTGTTGCAGCCCACTTCACTTCTCACTTAATTGGAATCGAGTACTATCCAACGAACTCTAGCAGACATGCAATGGCATGCAGTCATACAATCTAATTGCATGTGATGCACTTCTTTGCAAAAATATTGGGTCCCCAATGCCACTTCCACCTCATAGAAGTGCTATTCGTTGAAATTGGATGTATTGGGTAAAGGAAATCCAATTGGAAGCGTAAATAAATGAATATATAAAGAGATACCAGATATGTTTCGGAACATTAAATTTCAACATGTAATTGTTGTATCATCTTCGCAATTACGTATATTAAATTTTATATAATTTAGTTATTCAAAGTTTGGTATATTTTAAGAATATATTATCTATTAAAATAAAATAATAAAATAAAACATTTATTAATGTTATTTTGTATAAAATTTTGTAAAATTGATTTAGTTAATAAAAATATTTAAACTTATAGTTGGTTGAAGAGGTAGCATATATGCATTCCTAAGTGTTCTCACTCACAAGTGGTTAATACAATAGCTAAATGTGAACAATGCGTTCCGAGAACCTATGGATATACTCTACTTAATTGAAAGTTCCAATCACCACTTCAAGGATTCGTTGTGACAATTTAACCATTGTAGCTTTATCGCATATATAATCCAGTACTTAATCTAACTAGATTAAGTGTATTGAACTCGACATAAAAGTGCTAAACAAAACCCTCATTGTTTCTTACGTTTTTTATATGATCAATTTATTTGTTACAGTAATAATCAATCTTTACATTTGTTATACTTTTTTCATATCCTATTTTTACTATGTCAAGCACAGGACTTGAGAAGTATTGCAGAGTTTATTTGAGGCTTGGTTAGATAAAAATGTAGTTAAAAAACTTTCATTCTTTTCAACGATCTTGAGATCAAGTTCTTCAAATGATTTGGCCTTGTATTGGAAAATTTGTGCTTTAGACTTATCTTAAGATGCTGCATCCAGATAACATACAAGACGATTATTAAATATAATTTTTGCCTCATCACCTTTCACCGTTAATGTGCACTCTATTAATTAAAACATGGGATTAGCGCTTCATTTATTTCCTTTAATCATAGATTATTTGTTGTTATCCAAACTTGAGGTCAAGAAGATCTTAGTTCTAACACCATTGTTATGATTTAGTGTCATTTGACATCATGGTAAGGATATTGTATTTAGAGAAGAGAGACAAGGTAGCATGACATGGACATTAAATTGTTATAAACTTGTTAAATTAATTATATCGATTGAAAAAATAACATGACTTTCTTAGAATTAAATGAAATAAGTACATTGATTATTAAAAATCTTTTCATCAACTCACTAATTCACAAGTGTAATGAAGTTGTAGAATTTATATAATTTTTAAACATGTAAAATTTCATTTATAATATTTTATTGAAGCATAAAACAATAAGCAAATGGAAAAAGAATTATGAAATAGAAAGTCATATATAAACATGCATTAGAATATTATTAATGAAAAAAATAGAATAATTACTAAAAAATTAAGAAAGTAAGAAAAAAATTCAACCAAATGATTTGAAAGACATTGAAAATATCAAGTTAGAACAAGAAATAAATGTATACTCAATAGTTTTATAAGTGTGACAATATAATTATGCCTCGTGGAAGTAAAAAATCATGTTTTAAATATCTTAGTTTGATTTTAGAGGGTGATATATAAATAAAAGTGTTGATATGGTATAAGGAAAAATAAACCGTTAAAATAGTAACATAATTGTTCACCCACTTCGAAAACAACAATAATATCTTACACAATATCTGTAACTTTTTTTTTTCCTTTTTATTATATATATCTTTTACTTCTTTTTTATCTTTCTCTTCCTTTCATCTCGATATCTCTAAACGAAATGTACATAGAAAAAAAATATTCCTTCCAAAATTACATATTATAACTAGATTACTTTGATACCTACGGTTCAATTTATTTGTCATTATATGACTCCTAACTCTCAAGTAATTAATATCCTTTTGGGAATTAAAATAAGTGCATCATGATTTCACAATGACAAATGGAGCAATCGGAAATTAATAATGTTCAAAAATCAAATCTAAGCTGATTTGGCATGGATTGTATATGATGATCTCGCCTTGCAAATGGAAGAGTGCTCACAGAAGACTTTTATGTGTCTCTTTCACCATTCCACGTATTACAAATTGGCAAATGTGCATATCATCAATGCCTCACTTGAGAGCCAAGTTGTGGAATATTCAATATGTAGTTTTATTGTATGAGTGTGTTTGGCAGATGAGTTGTTACGGGGCTTAAGAAAAAATGCATTCTATGTTTTATGTAAAAAGAAAACAAAACAAGATAGAATATTAAAAAAATGGTACATCTTGATTTTAGTGAAAAAAGAATAAAATTAAAAAGGATAAGTTAGCAAACTTTTGGTTTCATTCTAAATATTGTATTTCATATTATCTACATGTTAAACGTTAACTGAGGGTTGGTCCAATCAACAGAATCTTCAAGAATGTAAGGTAACAAAATATTATTATATTTTTAAAAAGTAAGCAATTTATAAAATTAATTATTTTAACTTTTTAAAAAATTAAACTAATTACAAATGTTATTAAACACTATATCTATAAGAGTACGTTATTATTGTTTTTTTTTTTTCATGTAAAATAACAAAATTGATATCAACCTTTTGCTTCTTTGATTGACATGATGATATTGATATTTGGTCGGTGGTCATTAATATCTTTCATTTTAAACACTAAGATATCTAATCGTGTCCCTTGTTATATTGTTTTTTAATTAATTAATTAATATATATATATATATATGCTTGACAATCCTTTACATCAACGCATAAAGTAGATAGAGTTACATAATGAATGAAGTCTCTGCATTATTAATATTAAGGTTAATAATTTAATATACCATAATATTGTATGCCATATGATGATACATTCATAAGTGATCATATATTGATGTACACATTCGTATGTAGGCTGGCATCATGTACGTTAGACGCTCATATATTGCAAAAGATATATAGAGAATAAATTCGTAGCATATGTTTGATTAATTTAGATTTAGGAATCATGATCGTTTCAACTTAGTGCAAGAATGAAAACTTACTCCTCTAGCTTGGCATCTTTTTGAAATAATAAGGATACTAAAATGCATGATGAGAATATAGGAGAAAAAAACTACAATATTCCTAATTTTTATATGATTTTTTATTATGAGAATAACTAATTAAAGAAATATATATAGTCGATTTAGGCATCAAGACCGTACGATTTGATTCAATGGTTTTGGACTTGGGGGATAAAAAATGTGGCCATGGTAAGATCTATGACTGCTTTAGGGTATGAGACTCCATTTTGTGGTTCCCGTAGTTTTTAGTTCCACTTCCGCTGAATTCTTTCAACATATAACAAAAGCTCAAATTGATATATATATATATATATATATATATATATATTTCCTTGTGTTTTGCATGCATGTTAACTGTGTATATGAACATGTACATAAGCTCCTAGTGCTATACAAGTAAAGTAACATCAGGCTATAATAATTATTACTGCCACTAATATTAGTTTTGAACTTTCAACACACTTCATTCAAGGAGTTATGTTAATTTGATAACCGTTAAGTAAAATTTTGGTTTCAAATTTTAATTTTATGTATATATAATTCACTAATTCTTATCTTATGGTACTTAATGTAGAAAAATAAAATAAAATAAAATAAAGTTGAAGGTGCAAGCATAGGAAAAAGAAGGGTTAGGGTTTTAGACTAAACAATTAATATAGAAAGCCAAGAAATTAAAGGGTGGATGATAGAAGAAGAGGGGGAAAAAGAAAGTGAAAAGCTAAACCTGGAAATGAGGCAAATGCTGGTAAAGTTAGGGACAAGAAGACAAGGCCTGGGCTTGAAATGCACGCATGCTTTGCCTACTAACAGCAATATCCCTACTCACCTCTCCCTAACCTCTCACTCTCACTCTCTTATCTCAGACACGCCAACCTGTTTTTCCAACAAGCCTTCAACCCCACTTCCCTTTGCTTTCTTTCAACTCAGCAGCTATCTTTTCACCCTCAAAGAAAACAAAAACAAAGTTTTGTTTCCTTTTTCTTTAATGCCTTTGTTGGTCGCTATTAATTGTTTCCCGTGAGCTTTATCAATGTTAGTGTACGCATTACATAACCTCGTTCATCTTGCAATCAACCAACTAAAGTGCCTTACTACTCAACTAATGAAAGCCTTAGAAAAAGCAGTTATTCATCCACAGTAATATTCTTCAATTTGCACCATTATTATAGTGCAATCATGCGTGCATTGTTTTGGAATCATTATCGTTATTAATTGGAAAAGGTTACTTTCAATTATTAAGATAGGAATAAGAAACTAAAAATACCAAGATTTTATTGAATAATGTATTTATTATATAAAATATAAAAAATATTTTAAATACTTAAAATTATCTCCAAGAGTTGACATTAACAAAACTATTATTATTTTATTGACGAAATTCCTGAACAGGATTGTTACATACATGATTATATAAAATTTATCATTTCGGAATTCATGTTATGTAGTCTATTTATGGAGGCATTTCAGTAACAAAGAAAAAAGAATGTTATTTGTTAACATACGTATAAAAAATGTCAAGTGTTAAAACTATTTTTGTTAGCATAATTAATCTTCATCAAATAAAAATTAGATTATTTATGATAGATATTATAAGTCTACATTGACATTATAATACATTATTCTAATAATTTATATACTGAATATATATTAATACTTTGTACCAAAAATTTGTTCATTAATGAGATATATCATATTGTTAATATAAATTTACGATGATTAAATATTTTTGTAAACGTTTTTAACTTAATTTGTTAAGTTTAATGCGATCAAAGTTACTTATTATATTACCCAATTTCGTAGAATATCTGTGTACCATGATCATTTTCCAAACTGATGAAACCGATGAAATCACCTGTGAAAAGTAGGAGACTCTTGGACTGCATTTTTCTTACATCTGATCAAATTCTAAATTTGGCCTTTACTTCCTTTTTCTGTAGCCGTTTTATTAGTAAGACTTTAATAAATGCTCCACTTTCTGATGATAGAAAAGCAAAATTGAAACAAAAAATTAACCATGGTTGGGTATGTTGGAGCGTCCATTAAGGTCCCACTTGAAAGACAATCAATCATCTTGAAGTTAGCATCATATATGTACAGGTAGAAGGTCATTTTCAATCTGCAGTGGGAGCCAGATCATATAGTCGGCTACACACTAGAACTCCTCCTTTTGCACACACACTACAGTACCATGCAAAATATTGAGTAGTCAGAAAGAAGATATGCATCTAGCTATATCACTAAATTAACATTAACATTATTCTCATTAATGAATAATAAAATAAACACCTTCAACAAGCTTAACAAGAAACTATATCAATTAGTTCTCTCGTATAATATAAGAATCTAGCTACCTATAATTATCTCTTCTATCTCCCTCTATAAATGTAACCCTTTGCCTTCTATATATTTCATCACTCATCACTTGTTTGAAATAAACCAAGTAGTTGCACATAAATTTACAGCAATAGTATCCCATTTATTTCAATTAATCATGGCTGCACGACATGAAAATGATCCTAGCAGCATAGTTTCCATTTTAAGGATTGTGTCTGTGCATCCCAAACTTGTGCAACCTCAAAGGGTTTTGACTCTTTCAAATTTGGATAGGCAGTGTCCAAAGCTCATGCACTTGGTCTTCTTTTATAATAACTTACCTCACCAAACTTTGAAGGACTTGTCCCTCAATTCAGTGTTCTCCAACTTGAAATCTGGCTTGGAAGAGACCTTGACTCTATGGTATCCAGGTGCAGGTAGACTCAGGCCAAACCAAAGTGATGGCAAGCTCAACCTTTGGTGTAGCAACCAGGGTGCAGTTCTGGCAGAGGCTGAAACCCCCCTTAAAATCTCACAACTTGGAAACCTCTCTGAGTACAATGAATTCTTTGAAAAGCTGGTTTATGAGCCAGCTTGTGATGGGAATTTCTCCAACATGCCCTTGATTGTTGCTCAGGTGAGAAACATATGTGTACACAATCTATGTAAAATATGATCTCTAATAGCTACTACAGTTACATATGTAATTGCAAAGTTGATGACACACAAGAAAATTAACCTGTTTAGGGTTTTGTGGTTTTTTCCTGTCCATATTACCTAATTGATTTCTGGCTGTTCTAATTTGTATACCACTAGGTCCCGGGAATCTCTCTTCTCCCCAGAAATAGTTATAAAGAAATCTTGGGATTTTTTTTTTCTTTTTCGCATTATATATAAGTATGACAGAAGCTAGGGTTTGTCCTTGTGGTTCCATAAAAACATGGGACATGTTCCCTTCACACAGGACAATAAGGCAGGTCGCAAAATCTTCTTGTTTCTGTAATTTATTAGCTTACAACTATATTAATTCTTATCTTTCTTATCATTTTTATGACGGGCTCTTTTGTGCCCTAAGTATCTTAATTATGCAGCCAAATCACGCAACTTAAGTAGTATATATATTTATCACAAGAAAGTTGTGAGAAAAACAAAATATGAAAAGATGATTGATTAGCTTCTTTCATATATTTTTTTTTATCAGCAATTAGACTCTTTCATTTATCAAAACAAAAAACTAAATCATCGTTTTGATCAACACAGGTTACGAAATTTGGTTGTGGAGGGTATTCAATTGGTATTGGTACAAGCCACTCTTTATTTGATGGGCCAGCAACCTATGACTTCTTGTATGCATGGGCTTCAAATTCTGAAATTGTGAAAAGAAGGAGAAATGGTGAGCTTCCAAAACCAGTGCATGAGAGAGGAATACTACAAATTAGTAGTCTCCAAACCCCACGAGGGACTATGAACATTCCTTTAGACTCAAGTTTAAATGCTCAAAAAGGAAGGGCGATGGCAATAGATCACTTATATCAACTAATAATGCAAGCAACCAGCGGACAAAAGGGCTTTCCAATGCAAATTGGAGTTGGAGGAGGACTCTCTAATCAAAACAAGTGTGTTCTTAAAACCTATCATCTTTCTGGTGTAATGATAGATGACTTGAAAAGGAAACACTTCTCCATGCAGAGAGGTTCTATTCCCTTCTCAACCTTTGAGGTTCTTGCGGCTCACCTTTGGAAGGTAAGTAAATTTCTCAAATCAAAAGGTCTGTGATGTATGTTTGTTTTGAGTTCATTATATGACAGATATCTGACAGCTTGAGACACATGTTTATTTCTCGCCTGATTTATGTAATTGAATAACTACTAAAAAGTATGATATATCATTATTTTCCCCCAAAAACACATTTCAAATACAAAGGACACATCCAAAAACATTCCTCCAGTGGTATAAAATATATTACTAATATATAAATAAGGATAGTATGTAGGCCTCGTTGAAACTAAAACAAAATAATGGCCTAAATATATTTTTAATTCTTACAAATATAGTTAAATTTAGTTTTAATTTTTTATTTTTTTATTAATTTTAGTCCTCGTAAATTTTAAACATTTTATAAATGATCTTTGCTATCATGTTGTAAGGATATGATCTAGGTATATGTCACGTTTATAATTATCTGAGGTAAATATGACATATTTAAATGCACGTTTTATAATCAATAAATAATATAATAATTTTAAAAAATTTATAAAAATTAAAACTAATAAAAAATATTTTGGAAGATTAAAGTTATTTTTTATTATTTATAAAAATAAAAATCACTCTTAAGAAAAAAATAATAATAAGGGGTAGTATTATGTTTCAATTGATTTGTATTTTGCAAATTGTAGAAAAAAAAACAGGATAACATCTCTCTCTATATATATAATATTAAAATATTACATTTTATTAATTCAATTATTAAATTATGTTGTATTATTTTAGATTATTTAAATATCATATTATACACACGTTAAAAAATAATGTGATTTCAAGCGAAAAAAAAATAATGTGATTAATTAATAAGTAATTTTAAATATATAAAATTTTAATAGTAACAAAAGTTATTAAAAATTAATTTTGCTTCCATACACATACAAAATTAATATATATATATATATATATATATATATATATATATTATAATAACATTCACTACAATATTTTGAAGGTGCAGACAACATTTTTTTTACCCACAACAAAAAAATTGTTTCCAAACGCACTAGATCAAGTCTTATTTATTTAATATCTCAAAAACTGCTGTCATTTATTCTATTTAGATAATAATTTTACAATTAGCTAGCGTGGTGAAAAATTATGGTCAAAATAAATAAATAACAATTGTTTAACTTTTAAATAACAAATTTTTACAATTAAAAAAATTTATTATTGTAATCAAAACAGGAAAAAAAATATTATATTTATTAGATCATTCATATTATCCTAACATTAAATAAGTTTAATTATAGGATAAAAATTATGCTCACCTTCCTAAAAATATGTAAATTACACCGCTTTTTTTTTTTATATGAAAACTACACTTAATTCAAATGAAAAATTAATATATACATTTTAGTCTATTTTAAAGTGAATGATCCTTTTTTATCATTTTTTGTGACACTTAAGCATTATCGACAGTTAGATTAATTTAAACTTTAAGACTTTAAAAACTGAAATGAAAATTTAAGTGAAATTTCAAAATCAATAAAATCAATATTTAAAACACCATTTTGTTTACTGAGTCGTAAAATCGATAATAAGATACTTAAAACTAGCTTTCAATAACATTGGAAATTGCAAGGAGAAGGAAAATATCTTTTAGAGGACACGATCGGTTCATAACACTGACAGAGACTCATTCACATTAAAATAGATTAACAGTATAATTTACTAATCTTTTAGGAAAAGATAATATGATTTAAGCATCTTTCAACAACAACAAAAAGTATTTATAATTTACTCCTTAGCTATAATAACATGATATGAAACACTACATATTAAAGTTTTATTTTGCTAATAATCCAACCATTCAAGAGTAGTACAAACTATGGTGTTCATTTTGAATAATAGGCAAGGACCAAAGCCTTAGGGGTGAGGAAAGAAAAGCTAGTATGCCTGCAATTCGCTGTGGACATAAGGAGCAAGATGATACCCTCATTGCCAAACGGTTTCAGTGGAAATGCTTATGTTCTTGCCTCCATTATGATGTCAGTAGGAGAATTGGAACAAGCAAGCCATGAAAGCATCATTGAGAAAATAAGAGAAGCCAAGAACAATGTTAATCATGGCTATGTTAAAGCCTACATTGATGCACTTGAAGGACCACAAGCTTCTTCTCTCCCCCCACTGAAGGAGCTAACTCTGGTTTCGGATTGGACTAGGATGCCATTTCACAACATTGAGTTCTTTCATGGAAAAGCAACCTCTGCATGTCCGCTAGCCACTCCTATTCCACAGGTTGCATACTTCATGCAGAGTCCTATTGATAACTTTGGGGTTGATGTGAGAATTGGTTTGGAAGCAGAAACCTTAAGTGCTTTTACTCAAGGCTTTTTAAGCAGAGGGTGATAAAATTTCTTATGGATATATTTCATCATAATATTGGTGTTGTTGAGGGCTCCTAGGATAACTTTTAAATTGTCTTATGAAAAGATAAATAGTAAAAGCTATAGGATACACATTGTAAGAAATGTTAGTAACACTGCACCTTTTAAATATACTCTTCATTGTACTTTTTTTGTTAAAGAGTTATTTTTTAAGAAGTTAAAACACTTACTTCGAAAGAAAATTATTTTTAAAATCATTTTAACTTTTTAAAAAAAGACCATTCATAAATTGTATTGAAGAGTGTATTTAAAATACTAAATAAGTTACTGACATTTTTTTATACACTATTATATAATTAGAATAAATCCTCAGAGTACTCTTAATATTGTATGTCTCAGTTATTTTACTCCCTTATTAACTTCTTTAAATTTTACTTTTTTTTTTCTCTATATTAATGATATTAAGCATTAGCACAAATGGTGTTTATCAATTTTTTTTACTTTAGTTGTTAATGTCATTCACAATAGTCCTTAATATTAAAGTACAAAAAAGTAAATGTATTTTTTTTTTTTCAAAATGAAATGCTGAGGAATAATGATAACTTTTCTTATCATAAAGGATTGTTCAAATATGCAAAGGTCAGAGGCAAAATGTCATTCTATAAGCAACCATGCAAGGAAGCGTTTATTGCGGAACAAAAAATGAATTCTATTTCGTGTGGGCAATTATTTGCATTCATAAAGGGAAAAGCCCGTGTTTATTGTCAACATTAACATTTTATTCTTGCTTATATGGACCACTAACCTTTGCTAGAAAAGCATGTCTGAGCAAAACTAAACATGGCTAACTCCATAATTCGCTATAGGGCCCATAAACAATAAAGCATTGTCACAAAGTGAGATAGCCCTTGTTGAAAGTAACAATCTAGAGAATCAAAATCTATAGAAAACTATGCAGAGGACAAAATTGGGAGAAGAGGGTAAACAATGAAGACTTATCACACTTCAAAATTCCTCAACAAGCATGACATGATGCACCAATATAATGCCAAAGTTTGTGTCACATAGATATCCCGGCAGAATAATTATTGTACCCATCCAATAATTCCACCTTGTCTTGTTTCTGCATCACATGACAATGTTATTAGTAGATATGGGCATGGACTGAAAGGTCATGTACAAAATACAACACCCCAAGGAACATCAGACAAAGAAAAATTGATCACAGGTTAAATAGTAAGACAACTTTAATGATCACCTTATTTTTTAAATCATGGATGTGCATGTAAGATCGTATGATACAAGAGAAATAGACAAGTTCATTAAAGCATAGCTTGCATAGCTTATTTGAAGTACATATAACAATATTCCCTAAGTTCTGTTTAATTCTTAGCTAAAAGGGCAATTGAACTGATGGATCTATATCTAGCATCTCGCCAAATATCCTTCAGCATTAAGGGAAAGAAAAACAAAATTTGCAGATCCAATTTCCACAAGTGTACTTATTAGATGCTTTAGAAAATTCAATGTCTATACTAAAGACAATCAGAAAATTTAATAAAACAACATTCAATTTTGACATGGATGTGGATCCACTTAATTAGCAGAGTTTCAACTAGGAATTCCTTGTAGGAGGAAAATAAAATTCAATCAGACTTCATCATAGTGAAGCCTGCTAATATGAATTATTTATTCTTCAAGTCAGCTTTGATGTAGTAAAAAATTTCCAGAGAGTTATTAGTTAACATCCCTAAATATGGCATTGTGAGCACCCCCTTGAACATATAAGGGAGCATCATAAATAGTTCATTTAGAATAAGTTTTTAAAAGAAATGAAAAACAGACCAATATATCCAAAGCATCAATTTCTACAATATAAAATCCCGAATTGGCAGCCAACTATCATGTAAGCATTGCCCTTTCTTTAATCCCACTAATTACATAATATTCAATCAGATAGTAACAACAGAGTTTAGCAGGACCTACATACAAACCATTACCTGTGTTATGACAGTAACGTATATATTGATGCTATTAGAAGTCATGTATAAATTGTAAAACTTTGAAGTTAGAGAAAAACAAGGTCAAATAGATATCTTTCTATCATTTTGCCCGTGTTGGGATCAACTAAAATCAAAATATCGATACATGCTCAAATCAATGGGAAAACAACGAAAAAGTTTTGCGATCACACGTAAACAGAAACAACCAAAATATCTTGCCCATGTTTTTAAGTCACTATGTGACAATTGATTGTAGTTACCATCTTAAAAACAATAATCATACCAAGATATCTCTAGTAAAACCTCATCAAATTGCATAAAAAATGATTACCTGTTTCATCATTGCACTGGCCAAGTCTTCCAGTGAACCGAGATTACAAGTGGTAGGAATGTTTTGGGACTTCTGCTGGTTCATGATGCACCCCTGATGTGGTTTCAATGAGGCTTCTTCAGTCAATTCCATAACTCCGCTATGCTTCACTTGTAAGGGACCACAAAAATTGAAGTCCAAGTTTCCATTGAAGGTTGAGTTTGTAGAAGTATGGCCTTCTGGACCAACATTACCATTCACTGAAATCATAGAGTCTACTGAATTACCAATAGCATGTGAATGATAACTACTATCTTGATTATGATCATTCCACCCTTGAAATGGCACATTATTGCTTATTTGTCCTGGACTACTTGTAAAAAGGACTCCTTGGGAGTGCATAGCAGGGAGTGAATCATAAGATTGACTCGACATTGAAGTAATGGATGAAGTAGCACTCAGATTCCCTCCATGCAAGGTTGTAGAAGACATGTTATCTATAGAAGACATAGAAGCCTGTCTAAAATGTTCCCTTGGAGGGTAAAAATTTGTCCCAGATGACTGCATAGAACTTGACCAAATATCACTACACCTGCCATTATCCAGCAAAGGGAGAGAAAAATGTTGAGAGGCTACTGAATATATTCCATTCCCTAGTGTGTTTTGAGGATTTGCTTTCAACATCATGCCATTGTTTGAGATATCCAAAATTGGAGAAAGTGAGCAACCCGTTGTTACTTTTGATATTTGATCTGGAAGTTTATTTGTGATGGCAAAAGTTGGGTTAGCATCAATAAGTGGGATCAAGTTTTGAATAGGACTAAGACTAACATCCTTATTGTGTCGCATTGGATCAATCCCTACAGACATTGGCATTGCCTGAATAGGATGGAAATTAAGTGGATCATTTATGGAGTTGTTTAAACTTTGTGCATGCCCCAACTGAAGAGTTTCTGAAGTAGGCAACCCATTCACATTCAGACCAACGGAAGTGTTCATTCTACCAATCATCCCAACAGGTGAAAAGGGCCTGAAAGCATTGTTATAAAACTGTTGTGGGCCACTCAATGTCTGCAAATGTCCAACACCACTCAAAGAACCCATTCTCAAATAGGATGTATCTGCACTACCTAAGGCTGCAACCATATTAGCCTGTTGGTTTGCCACGCAGCTAATTCTTTTCAGGTAAAGTCTATATTTCTGCAGCCATTGCCAAAAAAAAGGTGAGATTCACTAAATGAAAGAGATTATGTTATATTAAACTATGGCAGAAAGGATAAGAAAAATGCCTGGAGGTGGCTTGCCACATTCTCTCTTGTAAGCTTTTCAACATTCATCAAATCGAGAATCTTTTTAGGTACAGCCTCTGAAAGCAAAATAATATTATCATGAGCTACACAATTCATGATGGAACACTTCATGGCATGGTCTAAAACATGAGTAATTATCATGTTTGTGGCATGATATTTTTACCCCAATGGGACTTATGACAACGAAGAGTTCAAAACAATGCTGAACAGAATTTTCATACCATAATATTCTGAATATGGAATTACTATGATCTACCTATATATTAATAACAGGATAATAAGAAAAATGAAACAAGAATTGGTTTGCCTCTAGTAGAAATTGATAAAAATTATGTTTGGTATTAACATAGAGAGATTGAAGAACATACTGTCAACGCCTAATTGATTAACAGCAGCAACAAACTTGCGGTGCAGCTCCACGGACCAAACAACACGAGGCTTCTTTTGGGTTGATGATTCCTCATTGTCATGATCACTTTCATCATCCTCATCATCATCTTCATCCTGATCCTTCCTTTTCTTGGAAGGGTTTCCCTTTTGATCAGAATTTCCTGTTGCTGCTGACCCTCTTTCATTGCAGCTATCAGAATTGGGTCTGTCTTGGTTGATAATATTATTCAACTCCTTTGAGACAATCTTCTTCCTCCTGATTACATGTTGCCAAATGTTCTGTAGCTCCTCAATTCTAACAGGTTTCAGCAGATAATCACAAGCTCCATGAGTAATTCCCTTCATCACCATCTTTGGATCATCATTCTCAGACAACACTGAAACCAAACATTTAATAATGTCAGAAGTTCAAACAACCAAATGAAGCTGCAATACATAACAACTAAAGAAAATCTTCCTAAGTTTACTCTAAATTTATGTACCAAAGTTTCATATCAATCAATGATGAACATAGTTGTTAAAATCGCATGATTCACTAGGCTAAAGATTTGTATCATGTGATGAATCGCATGAATTGCAGACGATACATGAATGACTAGGTGCAGTGAAATTCTATATCAAACACCATTCCAAACACTTCCTTTTATGCTCCATGAAACAAAACTCAAATCTTACAAATATCACATAGGTAAAACCTATTCAAAGAGCATATCATAACCAAAAGCTCAATACTTGAAAAATCTAAACATATTAACTATCTAACTTCATTAATAATTATAACATTGAGGGCAACACTTGAAAAAAATAGAACAACAATTGAAAATTGAATATAAGACTACTGCTTACTTATGACAGGTAGGTCCATCTCAAGCCCCACGAGCTCAAGCAGCTTAAATCCATCCATGTCTGGCATGTGGACATCACTGATAACCAGGTCAAACTTGTCTTTGTTTTCTCTCAACAATTCCAGTGCCGTTATTGCATTTAAAGTTACGGTTACTGCAAAATCCATAACAAAATTAAATATCACTCTGGCAAAGCAAAATGGCAAAATACGGATAAAACCAAGACACAAAATCTAAGGAATGGTAATTAGAAAAAGGGGGAAAATCCAATGACAGGAAAAGTGTTGCATCCTGCATCCAATGAAACCATTAATTCTATGATACCAAAGAAGCAACAAAAGATCAACAAAAGACTAAACACAGAGAAATAGATAATGATGAAATTCAAAGTGAAAATTCTGCCACCGTAAGAACATGCTGTTAATCTAGAGTAATTTAATTGATCTCCACGTTTCAGAAACAATATCATATAAAATGAAAAAAAAAACAATTTAATTGATTCATACAAGTATATGTGATCGAAAAAGAAGAGTCAACGCCTTTGACATTAATTTCTCATATATACACGTAAACATACATACATCCCTGAAACTTATGGAATATCCTACGATAACATTTCTTACATAACATCAAACTAAAAAACATAAATATACAAATATCTCCAAAACTTATGGAAATATCCTATGATACGATTTGTTACATGAAATCAAACTAAAAAAACTTAAAGACACTCAATTAGACAAATTCAAGTTTAGAAAACAAGATAAAATAAAATCCTTTAGTATTCCAATAATAATATCCAGGCCAAAAGAAAACATAAAAGAGAATTGCCACATCCTTAACAACATAAAAATAATTAAAAAAAAAAGAACAGAAGAAGCAGACCATTGTATTGACACCTTCGGAGCAGAGACTCCAAAACCTTGAGACATGTTGAATTATCATCAACAGCAAGAACACGCATTCCCACAGGAAACTGGTCATTGAGGTCGTCCATTGTATGATCGTCATCCACCATCATTTTCTTGCAAAAGGGTGTTAACGTGCAACTATTAGAGTCTCCCTTTCTTTTCATGGCTCTAAAGCCAAAACCCAGAACAGAATCTATGAAACAAAGGACCTTAAAAAAAAGACAAGATTTTAAGGAATAATATCGTTGACAGAGAGAAAAAGAAGGAGTGATGAAGGGAAAGAAAGAATAATTAAAAAGTGGGTGTGCATGTTTGTGAGGTTTATATATTGAATGAATTTTATGAATCCACAACATAGAAAATCAGAATCTTTATCTTTATAGATGAGTTTTGGTGGCAAAATTTGTAACGAGTTTTGGAGGTAATTTTTCTTCACTCTTTAACATAATAATCTTTTTTTTTTTAAATAACTAATATTTTTATTAATAATAATATTAATATATTTTAATTAATTTTAAACTTTCAAATAATTTAAATATTATTATAAAAATTTTATAAAATTATTCTTATCATAATATTTGTTTATATTTTATATGTGACTCATAAATTTTATATTATATCAACATGTATAATTTTAATTAAAATATAAATTTATTTTTGTATTCAATAAAATTATTCTTCTCTTTTATTTTTTATTTAAATCTTAATTAAAATTTTAAAATATATAAAATATATAAAATTTGTATATAACAATTTATTTATCTTATTTTTTAATCTATTTATATTTAATATTATTTAATATAATATAATTTTATTATTATATATTTTTTACATTTAAATTATAATTTATAATATTAATATATACTAATATACAATATAAAAAAATTTCTGTGACATATAAACATATTTATTAATTTATAATTAAATTATTATTAATAATATTTATAATATTTAAAGTCACATATAAATTATTTTTAACTGTTATATTTATTTTTATAGATAATTTATTTTTAAAAATAATTAAAATTTTTATTTAGTATTTTTATCTTTTTATTATATTAAAAATAATTAATTTTATATTTAAATTATAATTATTTTAAAATTAAATTATATATATTTAAATAATAAATATATGATTTAATAATAAGAGTTTAAATTATAATATTTGACAGTAGTTTCAGAAATATAAAATAGACTTATTTAATAAAAGAATTAATATTTTTTATCTTTAAATTGTGTGTTATATAATTTTGTAAGATAAGATATATAATTTTATTCCTTCAATAATTTTTATCTTAAAAAATTTTAAATATATTAAAATTTATTTATTTTTATTATGATCATTATGTTGTGGTATGTATGTATACATGTTAAATTATTACAAATTAATTATAAAAGTATTTTTAAACTTTATAGAATTAAATTTATAATTTTATAAATTAAAATAAATTTGAATTTAATTCTTTTACTTTTAAAGTTAATTTATAAATATTTAAAAGTATATTATAAATCTTAATAAAATATATGAAATAATTTTATTAGTAATAATATTAATAAAATATATGAAATATTTTATATAATTATTTTTTATTTTATAATTATTAATTATAATATTATATTATAACATAATAATTTATAAAACTATTTATAAAAATTATTAAATTAATATTAATATTTTATTTTCAAATTTAAAGGCCACCCATTCTTTTATAATTACTTAATTACAAAGATATTTTTTTAAAAAAAAATTACCTTATATAAAATTAGATCAGAATTTGCTTTCAAAACTATGTTAATTATAAAATTGCCTTATATTTTATAATTATTAATTATAATATTATAATATAACATAATAATTATACTATAGCAGTTGAAAGAGAAAGATATAGAATCTTGAACTATATGGTTGGAGTTGTAGCATGGAATATGGACAGTGAAAGATGATTTAACAACGTGAATATTGGTTGAATTATGGAAAAGATGGGGATGGACCTTCCTTTTTATCCTTAGATACCACAAAGAAGAGAAGAATCGCCAATTCAAGATTTTCATCGAAAATTGAAGTCCACGCGCTCAGAAGAGAAACATTTGATTCTTTACTATTTATTGTTAGCATGTATTAAGGATTTTTTATGGCCGTTGTGTTAGGTTACCTTAGTTTTCTTGTTTTTCCTCCGAGTATCTCTTCATTTATGTTTCTTGATTCTTGTCGTAAATATTTCAAGTTCATAAAGTATTCGAATTTTCCTTATTACCCATCAATCAAGCTTTATGACATAAATCCGAATCTTTATTTTAAACATTATAAATTAAATTAGTTTTTACAGATTTTAAAAATTAAAAGTTTTTTATATTTTTAATATAAAATAAAAATAATCATCATCGTTTTACAAAACAAACTTTGCTAGTATTTATGTTTTTTTAGTAAATATGAATCATACGAGATGTAGTGTTTCTGAAATATTAATTTTCTTGTCTAAAAGTTTATTCAATATTTTCTGTACTACATATTATATAAATTCTTATTCTGTATATTACAGTAATTTATTTATTACACTTTATGACAGATTAATTTACTTTTATGGTAATTAATTAAAAATTTTAAATCTGATTCAAACATAATTACTTTTTAGGAAACATATTTGTTGTCTAAAAAAAGAATTTATTTTTTTAAAGTATTTAATTATGTTAAAGTAATTTATTAAAAGTTTAAAATTAATTAAGATATGTTAATATTATTATTAATAAAAATATTAGTTATTTAAAAAAAAGAAATAAAATATTTAAATTAATTTTAAATTTTTCTTTTAATGCATGCAGTAAAAAAAAATTTAATTAATTTTATATGAACTAGTTTTGTTACGTAACAAATATAGTAATATCAAAAGTTAAAATAATAATAAAATTTATTCATTTAATCTATTATTTATTATTAATTAAATTTCAATTAGTAGTTTCTAATAATAAAATTTAAAATAAACTATTAATATGAAAATTTAAAACTATGGTAAACTTTACAAGAATAAATGCATTAATATATTAATATTAAAGTTACAAATATTAAATTAATATTAATTCTTATTATTTCATTGTTATATGACCTTTTAAATATATAAAATAATTAATTATAATTTATTCATTCTATTATTCTTCATGAATGATCCTATATATTAATATTAAAATTAAAAAAAACGTACAAATATGTTAATATATATACACACTAAATAAAATATAATTTCTTTATCTTTATTAAATATTTTACATCTGATCATATAACTCTTATTTTTATTATTTTTATAAGCAAAAACATATTATTAAGAAAAATGAGTATAAGGGATACTTCATCATGTATACAAAGTTAAGGCAACTGCTTAATATACATCAACAGCTCATTTAATCAATTTATATACACTACTTGCCCCTTATTCAAACCATTTTCGGGACCTATATTTGGTAGCATCTATAATCTCTCTAACATCTAACACATTATTATTAAAGATAATATTACTTCTATGTAACCAAATGCTCTATGCCACAACTACCCAAATAGTTGCTACATACCTCTCACCTTCATTCAAAGTCTTCATGCATCAAACATAATATAAATTTTTTTTAGAGATTTAACAATAAATAAATTTATCAATTGAAATTTCTTTTCAATTTGAAGATGATTAAATTTATTCAAAACAAATTACAACTTTCATATTGTCTTCATCACAGACTAGTGGACGAATCTCTAGACCTAAAAGCAGTTATGTTATAAAAGGCACTGATGCCATGTCCTTTGCTACTGGCTGATTTTAGTCCTAAAGTTAATCAAGAGGCTAAACTTGATCTATCTTTCCGACTTAGCCGAACTTCTCTCACCTGGAGTGACCAAAGGATATTAGGATTCAAGCTCTGAACCAAAGCTAATTGTTTTCTCTTTGGTTGACATCGATAAGGTAATGCGTCCTTGGCTTCTACTTAATAGTAGGGCCAAGCAGCATTTTGAGTTGACAAAGTGTCTTTCAAATCTCTATTTGTGTATAGTGGTTCACATTTCTTTTCAAGAGTAATTACCATAAAATATTTCATGATATACACATTGTCTTTATGAAGTAGTTTTTCATAATGTGATATAATATCTAACAATACAATGAATCCTTAAATTCTGAAATAATGAGAGAACATGAAGGAATTAAATAAGTTAAATAAAAAGAAAATTTTATGCACTTTGACTAAAGAAATCTAAAAGCTTTACTTTTTCATTGACTAAAATTATGTCCATGCTATTGACTTGAGTTTTGTTTGGTGGTTTTTACAACAGAATCAGTCTTTTTAGAGGATTCTTTTGGAGTTCCAGATTGCTGAGTTGATGACTCAACAATTTGGATTGCCTTTTGAGTCGATGACTCAATGGGGGTAGATGACCCAGAAGAAGAGGTATTTGGGTCTGCCGAAGCAGATTGTGATTTTGATTTGTTTAAAGTCAGAGCTAATCTGACTTTGCCGCCTTTAGTGGTTCCTCCCCTAGAAAGAGAGATTTAAGAGAGAGAAGCTCTGAGAGAAAATCTTATTGTAAGCCTTCTTCCTCTTTGAGATCTTTCAATAAAATTTGCTGTTTCAAATTAAAAAAAAAAAAAAATAAAAAAAATAAAAAATAAAAAATAACCAGATCCAGTTGAATAAGTTATAAATAATTAACAGATGTATTGTTACGGAACCAAATGAGGGTGATGAGCCAGATGTTTTTATATCATGTCTAGACTCTTACGCTCTTTCTCTCGTATTTCTTTTCGTTCTGGCTCCAGTTCCTCCTCCTCCTCTCCAACTAAAACAAATCTCTTTAATGACCAGGAGAACCATTCTCCTGAAATCACACCCAAACACAACCTCTTCGACGAAGAAGTTCGTTTTGAAGAGATCAATCAAAGTATGGATGACTGGACTATTCCAGTCATTCCTCAGGATACATTATATGTTCCTGAAGACCAACCCAAGAAAAACAGTTCTGATTATATTATCAAGACTGTTGAAAATAATATCCCTTTAGGGAAAGGCATAGGAGAAGAATTTCATCTCCTGTCCAAATCCTCCCTCTATGACCATAAAAGAAAGTACAAATACCTTCACATAGGATGTGTTCAGGTAGCAATTAAACCTTTGATAGACATAGGCATAGATGCTGCTGTCTTAATTTGTCTGAGAGATACTCGTCATAATAAGTTTGATGATTCTCTTATAGGAACAGTTGAAACCAGCCTCGGTCAAGGTCCGATTTATTTCAACTGTTTTCCCAACAAAACTGTGAGTCT